ACAAGCACAAATAGGACTTTACCCAGAGTCAACGGACTACCCCGCACGACCTCCCCACCGACACATAGGATGGTCTCTACCCACACGAGTGCCCCAGGGTCAACGACATGTTGGAGCGTTTTTAGCAAAGCGAACAAATTATAGTAAATACGCGAGAGCTAGACACCTGGTTAGATTCACTATACGAAAGACCATGGCCGTAGATACCCTAAGGGGGCTCAAGGCCCTCGTCGAGAGACCCATAAGGTCCTGTTGCGGCCACAACTTGGGCCACCAACCACTGAGCAAGCTCAGCGGATAAGGCGGAAGGGCAACCCCCGACACCATGGTCTTTACGTGTAGCTGCACTAACAGGGTGACTACTCTTATATGACTACTTGAATTAATATGCTCGACCCGACCAAAGGAATAGAACAGGGAAGACAAGCACAATGAAAAGTGAAAGGGAACAGAGTGAAACGAGAAGTCAGAAAGGAAGATAGAAATAAAGAAGTCAAAAAGTAGAAAAATAAGGAATAGGGTTATAGAAGTAGAGAAGAAATGAGGAAAGAGATAAGTAAGAAAGTAAAGAATAAAGGATAAAGAAATAAATATAGAAAAAGAAGAAAGTTGGAAATGTACGAGAGGGGTACTTCCAAGAGACCAGTATAAAAGACCGGCTCGAGGAAGAATGAGCGCTCTGAGTCCGGGCCTCGAGCGCTTCCCCCACCATCCGCCTGCTCCCACACCCAGAGTCCTGCGCGACGAATTTGCGCGCACCCAATTTCGGGCAACTTCCAGTACTTCCAAATATGCTTGGCCAGAATTTCCGATTTCTAAGTGTTAATATTTTACTTTATTGATTTAATTAATTATTTTATTGTTCCAAACACTTAATTTATTAATATATCAATTTCAGCCTAATTTATTTTCGACATATTACAATTTCAATTCAAAGGTTTATCAGTTTTAGCAATTAATAAAACCAGTAAGCATAGTTAACGAAATAAACATAAAATAAATGATTAGGGCTGTGGGAAGAAGAAACGCTCGCTGATTTATGTATTATATTTATTGTATGTATATAGTATAATAAAATGTGCATAGTAAAATATAATCATGTATTTATTCAATCCTAAGTTAATTAATGAAACCAGTAAACATAGTGAGCGAATCAATATAAAAAAAATTATGATCGAATCCCACTGTTCACCGTGCAGGGTTTAAACAGAGGCAAGCTCCCTCATTGGTTGATTCCATTCAAATACTATACGTGATTGGTTAACTGATTTTAAACTGGGCACGTTGGGAACTATGCGACTGATAAAGTTGGCCCAACCTAATAGGATTTGTGTCTTTGTCTGATGACTGCCATATAGTTCGTTTCAGATCTAGAAAACATACTTTCTTTACCAATATTGTATTGATGCATCTAGTTTTGTAGTAAACGATTGAAGTTAACTATTTAATACTTAAATTCAATTTCCGGAAATGAAGACTTCGCCATTTTATCAATTTAATTTATGCAGACATAGGCCCGTTTTCTTCAGCACAGTTCAATGCATAAACTGCGTTTATCTTCAAAATACAAGTGTCTAGTTAGCTAATAGCACAGTTAAACTGAGTTTGTACATTGAACCACGTCGAAAAAAAGACGGGTGATAATATGTCAGAGGATTTATAACGATTGATAGCGAATAAAGAGATAATGTGTCAGCATGAAAATTCAGACGTCACAGTATGAAATCAGATGTCACTACCGGGCTTCTGTATATCTTCTCAAGCAACGTCAGAGCAAGAAACGTTAGCGTCGCATTCGCTTGTAGCTGTCCGAGAAATTCTACTTCGATAGTTTTGAAGTGTCTCATCTGAACTACTCCAAGATTTTCAAAATGATTCGGGTCTCAAAAGTCCTCGCACTTGCTCCGAAAGGGCTAAATAAATTTATTGTGACACATACCAGGTAAATTGAATATAATAAAGATTATACACGCATGTGAAAACTGTTTCAGAGAAGATACTGGATTTTAAAATAGAATAGGAAAACGTTCTTCGTTCTTTTTTTGTCTTTCTTCTTCTTCGACAATTATACAATTTTTCGAGAATCACAATGAATATTGAATCAAGGTGTTTGCACGAGGAATTAACAAATAGTGTGAGCAGCTGTGCGCGATGCACTACTTGTTGCATCTACGATGATATTAATGAGTAACAATACAAAGGTACAGAAATTGATTTCAATTGACTGGAGCAAATTATTTGGAGTTATATAATTGTGCTAATTATTGTCTTCTATGTGGAATATGTTGTATTTGACAGATTATATTATTGGCTTGACCTTTGTTCGAGTTAAAAGTATTCGTGCATCTTAATGGCAGATTAGTCAAAACAAGCGAATGAACATTGGACTTTGCCCGAATAATTATAGTGATTGTTATTCATAACTCCGCGTAGTACAAATAAATGATACGCGCTTTCTAAATTCACATATCAATTATTATGTGATAAAAAGTTAAATCAATGATATAATTTAAAGAATCTGAAATAATATTTATTTCTTTAACATATAGCTATATATAATACAGCAAACACTAAATAGCTCAGGGTCACTGTTTATAAATAAATTCAATGTCGTTACTGAAACAGAAACATCAGTTAATAGTTATTATTATTGTTTGCCCTTATACCAATGGTTACCTAAGAATGTTAAGTTAGGACGAAACAAGTATTGCATGTGTTTATTGTTATCCAAGAAAAGTGTTGGATATTGTAAAATGAATTTTTTATTTTTGTATGGCTTAAACAGATATAACTATCGTAGTGTGTTAATGTGCTTGGCTCATTTGAATGTATAGATGTCAAGCTACAAAGGCTGCAGCAAATACAGTCAAGACAGAGAAATCCGAAAAGAAATCTACAGCCAAAGAATCACAGTCATTTACTATGAATATTTTTCGTGGTCATTTACAAGCCAGTCAAATATTCCCATATCCTGAACCCTTATCGGAAGAACAGAACGAGACTTTAAAAATGCTAGTGGATCCTATAGAGAAATTTTTCGAGGTACTTCATCAGGCTTGCAAGCAATAGCTTATAAACACTTATCAACTTATCTCGTTTATAACAAGTGATTTATCCCATAGGAAATTAATGATCCTGTGAAGAATGATGAGAATGGATCCATCGATGAGAAAACACTTGAGGCCTTATGGTCCCTTGGTGCGTTTGGTCTTCAAGTTCCTCAGGAATATGGTGGGCTTGGATTAAATAATACCATGTATGCTCGTTGCGTTGATATTGTTGGGTATAACGATCTTGGAGTTGGAATCACTTTGGGTGCTCATCAGAGCATTGGTTTCAAGGTACATATTAATTGATAATAGCCAATTTTTGAGATGTACAGATTATATAAAGTTCCCTGTGCAATTTCCAGGGTATTCTTCTAGTAGGTACTCCTGAGCAAAAGGAAAAGTATTTGCCAAGAGTTTGTGACGGAAAATTTGCAGCTTTCTGTTTAACAGAACCAAGCTGTGGCTCTGATGCCGGAGCCATTCGCTCTAAAGCAATAAAATCAAAGGATGGATCCCATTATGTATTAAATGGTAGTAAAATCTGGATTTCAAACGGAGGTCTGGCGGAAATCATGACAGTATTCGCCCAGGTGCCAATAACTGATCCTGAAACTGGTAAAACACAAGACAAGGTCACAGCATTCATTGTTGAAAGGGCATTTGGGGGCGTTAGCAATGGTCCACCAGAGAAGAAAATGGGTATAAAATGCAGCAACACTGCTGAGGTCTATTTCGAGGACGTTAAAATCCCAGCAGAAAATGTTCTTGGCGGCGAGGGACAAGGTTTCAAGGTTGCCATGAACATCTTGAACAATGGAAGGTTTGGCATGGCCGCAGCAATGTCTGGGACTCAGCGTTATTGTATAAAAAAGGCTGTGGATCATGCGACACAGAGAATTCAATTTGGCAAGACAATAGACAATTACGGAACCATTCAAGAAAAAATTGCACGAATGTGTATATTGCACTACGTCACAGAATCTCTAGCTTATATGATATCTGGTAACATGGACAAAGGTAGTCAAGATTATCACTTAGAAGCTGCCATATCAAAGGTAATCTAACCTTATAATGTTCTGCTCCATAGCATAAGAATTAGTAAAAGAATGTTTTCCTAAACTTAAACATTTTTCAGTGCTTCGGCTCAGAATCAGCTTGGTGGGTGTGCGATGAGGCCATCCAAATTCTTGGCGGTATGGGATATATGAAGGACACAGGATTGGAACGTGTTTTGCGTGATCTCCGAATATTCAGGATTTTCGAAGGCACCAATGATATTCTTAGACTGTTTGTAGCTCTTACTGGAATCCAGTACGCAGGAAGTCATCTAAAAGAACTTCAAAAGGCTTTTAGAAATCCTACAGCAAATTTGGGTCTGATTGTCGAAGAGGCAGCTAAGAGAGCAACAAGGGCTGTCGGTCTGAGTTCACCCCCGAATTTTATCCACTTAGTTCATCCTAGTTTAGCTGATAGTGCTACACTCTGTGCCAAGGTATCTATCGATTCGATTGGTTATTAACTCAAATAAAAATTTGCATTCCAAATTCCATCTTTTTTACAGAGCATAGAATCCTTTGGACAGGCCATCGAAAATAGTCTAATTAAATATAACAAAACAATTGTTGACGAACAATTTGTACTGAACAGATTAGCACAAGCAGCAATAGACACCTATACAATGGCAGCTGTGTTAAGCAGAGCCACTTTATCTGCTAGTAAAAATCTACCAAGTGCGCAGCATGAAATTCTAATGGCCCAGACCTGGTGCACAGAGGTCAGTCTGCATTACAAAATTTATCAATACACTTCTATAGACTCAGAAAATTTGTAATGAAAACTTCTTTTATACAGGCATCCAGTCGTGTTGCGTACAATCTGAAAGTTGTACAATCCGGCAAACACTTGGACGTCTTTACAAAACTTAGTAAAATATCCAAAAACGTCTGCGAGGCTGGTGATGTCATTCAACTAAATCCTCTAGGTTATTAATCTCATTAAAAAAATTCAGTTCTACCAAGAACTTAGTGACATTATGATATGTTTAATTACCGAACGTAATTGAAGATCGATCGACGCATTTCGCTATTGCGAATTCGTGTGCGCTTATCAAGAAGAAAGAGTAAATCTGTTTAAAGTTAATTATATATATTTATAGCACATTTTTAAGTAAGCAACGATAATGCAATTCGTTGGGCCGAGATGGCTCGAGCATCTTTGTCGAAATAAATATTTTTCTAATCGTTCTTGTTAAACATTCATTTTTATGAAAACTTATTTAACTATATCCCATGACATTTTCTAAAAAGCCATGTTCTTTGTTTGCGAAGTGGCTAGCAATCGCTTGGAATATCTTACAAGCAAATGTTACTCCCTTTTAGATTCCTATACAACCTTTTATTGCATTAAGCAGGGAGTATTTGGAAGCACAAAAAATGTATCTATCAGGTAGAACTGACTTGAATTTAGCAATTACACAGGTAATTTACGTTTCTCCTTAATTTCTGCTTCCGAAAAACGTGAGTAAAAGTCATTGATGGTCACTGAACTAACATACTTTGCAATTCATAAGACATCATGTTTCATTTTTCTCGCTTTTCTTACTATTTGCAAATAAGGGGAGAAATTAAAAATCCATTATTTTATTTTATCTAGAGATCTCTCTTGTTCTTATATTCCCTATAGTCATTACTTTCAGATTAAATGGTTATGCAGCATAGCAGGTATTTCTATCAATGTCTATTGTTCGAGCACCAATTTGAGTATATATCGTTTTTTATCATCAGTGATGGCAGTGTCTTTCAAATGCCTTTTAAACCTGCCTTTCGGTTTTTTCTATTTTCAATATTTCCTTCGTGTCCTGGAACATTCCAGAAATAAATTAACGTTGCATGTGCGATTTTCCTGTGTTTTTCTCATGAACACATGATCCATACTAAGATCATATATGTCCTTATTGTATGTATACTAGATGAACAGTGGCTATAATATGAGAAAGTGAATAATCACGTGACGTTAAATAATGATGAAGAACGCTGGAGAAAAAATATAACGTTCTTGATTAAAATTTGAAACTTTGTTACTACAGGTGTACTTGTTTTATATTTTCAAAAAGACTACGATTTGAGAAACTTTTAAATGTAAATCTGATTCAGTAGTGTATCCTAACTTGGCTATTTGAATAAACATTCTCTGTAGTGGTACTTCGCAGTAACATTGGCAACAACCCTGATTCTCCTGAATACGAAAATACTATGCAGAATATTTTACTGCAGTCCCAGATAAAGAGGAAACACGTGCGGCTGAGTCTCAATTGTAAAAGAGACGCCGAAGTCTTTCTCCAGGGACGTAGAAAAGCGTTTAAACATTCCGACCAAGACTGCTATGATATAAATTTAAATGGGATGTATTCGAATTCTAGATTTGATCGCCAATATGTACGCCTGTAAATACACGATTTCGAATATGTTTTATTTATTAATTTATTTTTTTATCATCGGCCCCAATTAACGACTATTTATAAATAATCAAAACTAGGGCCTTGATCATCTATATGTGTAATAGATAGTTCTTAAAATTCAATAAATTTTTTCACGCACACAGACACAAACATGTCTCCTCACAGGAAAAATCTCTATTGCGTCGCGACCCATCCTCAAAGAACTTTATTTACGCATTACATATCGATGCGTATCCGTATTGACGGCTTATCTTTTGTTTTTTTCGTGTTTTTAATTGTTTTTTAGATACACCTACGTCAAACTGAATATCTTACGCGATCGCGGCATCGCCAGCAAACACCGGTTTCATGTACCGGATAGATACCGCCATTCTTGGTACCTGGAGTAACTCTTCTCCTGAGAAACATAAAAACTAGCCCTGAGCTATGGAGATGTTCTTGAAGGTTTGTCCATTCCAAGCGATGCTGATACAGTAATGCTGAAGCAACTGCGTCAGGAGTTCCCTCTCGTCTAGCAATTCTATGCGCTCAATCCTGGATCTCTCAGACTCAGGCAGTGAATCATATACTTCAACCATCGTCCACGCGTTTGAACCCTCCCAGCCATTTACTGTGAACCTGTAATAAAGTGGTCCAGGTTCAGGATGGCATTCTGTATGATTAATGCATTGCCGTGAACGTTAATCACCGTCTCTGTTGAGTTTCCAAACTTTCACAATCCTCTACACCAGCCAAAAGACATCCTCTGGTACGTAAGTTGGACAGCATCACTTGGCCGAATTTGTCCCGCATGTTCACTTGTTCATAATTAACAAAAATGCTGTTTGAGAACTTGCCAGACAGCCATTTTAACAGGGTTGAGGCTGCACTGGTATCTACATAGACCAGTACACACTCAGTGATGAATAAAGTGGGTAGAGAAAAGTTCACTTCAGCCTGGCTCAATTTGTTTGCCACATCGGATATATGCCGTAAGTCAATACCAACTAGATGATAGTTTGCTGCATGTAGATCAGTTGCTGAGAACCTAATCTCTCCATCTGTAAAAATGTTAATATAGACCCTCTGCACTCGATGTCTCTTCTGTTAAGGGGAACAAGCAACTCAAGGCTGTTTTGATAGAATTTACCGCCTTCTGAAGGCGTATCGTATTGCGCTTCTTAAAAGGAAATCCAGAGCACCCCGATGTCTACCCATGTCGATATTGCAATGAAGGCTTTAAACTTCACCCAAAAAACATACAATTATTGTCGCCTCTCACTCGCCATTCGAATTGCTGCATCAAACCAAGTGGCGACTGAGAGTCGCCTCTCGAGTGCAAAGAATTAATATATAATTATCTGATTTTAATGAAATTCGATCAATGAAGTACCTTCGGTATTTAGTCTATCTATGAGTTGTTTTTGCTTCTTGATGAGATAACATTTCTTAGCAGTAACACTAGGAAAATCTAGTTCTACAAAATTCAATGGACTGTTCCCTGCATCACGGAGCCTCCAATAGAGCGTATCAAAACCAGCACCCAAATTTATTATCTGTCCTTTTCCACCAGAGAGCTGAAAGAGAATATATCAAATAATACATTTTTATTACTAGCTACTTCCTGTAATAGGACCAATAAGCATACAGAATTAACAGAAGCCTCTAGCTTATCGTACGATAAAAGAATCTTTGAGATAATAATTACAATGCAACAAGAATGAAACTACTGAACATAAGTCATTTCTCTGTGACTAATATAAAGAACAGACAATAAATAGGTATACGATTTCCATCAATCTTTCATGAAACGACCAATAAGAATTAAATCTATATTTAAATTCAAGTAGATTTTACTACTGCTAGAGCAAACAGAAAAAAACATCTGCGCGGATTTACAAGGTGGACGAGAATCGATTTTCTGTTGACCTATATAAAAGAAATCAGACTGAAAGCTATGAGAAAATGAAACACGGCCTGGGTCAGGTCAAGGTTCTCGGCAATGCGCATCCTCTAAATCAGCTGTACCATGGTTGTCTAGGTTATCCAAAATAATTCATAAAAATCAACAGTATATCATAATCATACCTTGAGAAACTTATCGATAAAGACTTCGATGCCTTTTACCCTTGCGTAATATCCTCGATTAATTTCCGGCGCCTTACGACCGGTCTGCCTTACGAAGAAATTGATAAACGGATCACTCCAGTAGCCAAGTTGAACAGCATAACGTTTGCATTCACTAGCGTCGTCGTTTGTGGCCTGTACGGCCTCGTCGTCCGCCATATCTTTTATCATATCACAATTAAACACTCGATATTAACGACGAATAATCATTGTCTCCTATCTTTTCAAATTCGACACTCGGCGATCTTTTATATGCCAGTTGGACAGCCAGTCATACGTCACACAGCCACACTAACAATGAGCGTATGGCATATAGAAACGAGTATTCTAACTCTACAATGCATCATGGGAAATGTGTCGAGCGGTGGCGCCACCGATTGATTATCCAACGTACTGCTTAAATTAGTTTATTCGTAATAACTTTAAATAAATACAGAAAGTAATGTCTTGTGGCAGAAAAATTATGACATAATGTATTTTACGGACTATATAAAAAGGCAATATAAAAAAAGATTATAGTTTTCCATACGAACCGAACTTATCTTAATCCAATATGTCACTAGAGAATATCGGTAAAACAGTTTAAATTGTATTCAGTCGGCAAAAACTGCAAGATGATTATCCCGAACAAGTACCCGATGGTAATACAGGAAATTATTTTATCAATATGTAGAGATAAATGCTGTTACGTAAATAACAAAATCACCCCCGTTCATAAAACTTTTCAAGCCAGATTTATAGTACCTACTTAAGTACATGTAATATTGATATAATTTCTTGAGCAAAGCATTTGGATATGGCGGGTTGCATACAGACAGGCACGTTTGTGTCTTATGTTCACAAAATAAAATTTTATTTTGGTGCAAGAAACTGATTTTAATGGGGTTAACAATAAATGTTAAGATAAAAACGATAGCATATATGTACGCAAACACAGCCGTGTCGTTATTGTCTTACAATTTTTCAAAACTGGATGTCGTAAGAAAAAATGTGTTAAACGAAATGGAACAATCAGTCTATTCTACTGAATTCGATTGACCACCGATCTGATCAATATGCGCCTCTTTGAGATAAAGTCATGTGTGTCTTGTAGATGCCCATCGAAACTATACGCATGTATGCATATACGACCGAGTAACAAACAAATTCCAAACAAATCTTTCACTTAAATTTTATCTACGCGTCAATATATATATATTTGCAAAATCAAATTGAACTCATCGCACCCATACTTGAATGATTCTTTAAAAATTTAATTCCTAAAAGATTTGAATTAGAAGAACTAAGCACAGTCATACCTATATTTTGTATTTCCTTCAACAACGCAAGTATATATCCTGTGATGCTGACAAGTATTTAAATAGAGTGTGAGAAAAAAAGTATTGGGGCAACTAGCTTCCGTAGTGATGTAGATTAATCCCGTGGGGTAATCGAGGAGTTATTTCTTTTTCTTGCATTTTTTTATTTCACCACTTCACATACGCAAGGCAGCTGGGAGAGTGAAGATAGGGATTGGTTTCTTTCAAGCGAATTTATTGTTTAGCATATGAATGGTATCTGGGGGCCCCCTTTGGCACATTACAAAGAATTGAATAAAGTTTATAAGGAAGGCAAAACCAGTCGGCCTCTCTCGTTGCTCTTGGCCCGCGGAGAAGTGCGTGCGCGAACGCTTGTGAGAGCGAATGCGCATAGCGGGGCCAGGTGTTTTATTTCGAACCGTGGGACAGGCACGAATCTTTCCCTTCTCAATGGAAAACAGGATCCATTTTCTACGAGGGGACCCCTTAGTACATTCTCCATCTTTCTTGGGTTATTCTATGCCTTGTTCTCCGGCCACCAGTTTCGCTTGGTTTATTATTCTCAAACGGGGCCTTGTGTATGTGTTGGGACCGATAGGTCTCTCCTTCGCGATGTATTACTTCATCTTCCTCTTCCTCGTGTGTTAGTAGTGAAACCAATCTTTTTTGCTCTCCTCTTCTTTACTTTTTTTATTCGAAACAAAGAATTTGCTATTGTTTATTTTTTTTGAATCATACGTGTCGCCATCTTTACGTTTTTCTAGGAATTAAGCATACGACTCTTATACTTTTTAATGCGAAAATTTAATATTATCCTTTGCTTGGATAGGTTCTTGTTTTTCTGTATAGGATTATGACAGAATTATTTTATATTAAATTGGAAATTATTTACTTATCAAGGATTTTAAGGTTATCGTTTTTGAAAACGTCAACGCGGCATCCATTACCTTTTGTGAAACAAATATTTATAGAGATTTAATGGAATAAATTTGAAAACTTACGCAACGTACATATGTAAATGTCTTTCATTATTTAAAAGATCGAGACCGCACGCAGGTACATTATATGCACATAGTATAGCACGCACGTGTGTAACAAGGACACAAAAACAGAGTGCAATAACAAAACTGTGGCCGAAATTCGTTTCCTTTAGGGGTGGCCCCGACTCTCTTTTATTAGCGCGTGGAAATTCGATCGCACAAAGAGATTCCTTTATTATTGATCCGGCTCTAACCTAACCGTTCTTCCGAATGAATAAACGGCCCTCAAAAACTCGTTCTCTCCTCACTGCTTCGTCGTTCAGAAAGCATTTAATAAAATCTTTGCACCGTATTTACGTTTTTATTTTTTAACCCCGCTTCCCCGTCCTTCTTGTGAATCCCTTCTCCTTTTACCTTTTTAACCGCTACGTCTCCTGTCATAGTGCTGAAAACTCGACGGTTCATATAATACTTTTTTCTTCTTTCTAGTCTCCTTTTTTGCTCTTCTTGTTTTCGTTGCACCAGCGTTCGCTTTGTCCAATTTTGAATATCACGTGTTCGACGATCTCTATTTGAATTAAAAATAAAAATCATTGACCAAGAATACACAGATGGGCAACTCTATCGATTTTTCTATACAAACCGTTAATACCCTATGATTCATGCGTACGCACCAACTGTTAGGAAGTTTTGCGCACAAGGGAACTAAGTGGTTGAATTTTCATTTGATGGATGATAATTCGAAATCGGTTCAGCAGGCCGGGACGAGTGCAATTTGATTTAAATTCTCCAAATAATGCCCACATCTCGACCTGCAGGCCGTTCGACGTTTTTTCGTTTCTCCATTGATACTCTGCATCTTCTTTTTCGCCGCGTTATGTTTTTATCCCTTTGTCACGTTCCTCCATCATTTCTTTCGTTTATTCCATTATTTCTCGTTTGTATTTCTTTTTCAAGCTTGTGGCGAACTTATGCATTCCGATAGGCCGGGACAAGTGCAATATTGGACAAATACTTGTTACGGAACATTGTCACCAATCTCAGCCTGTCTTCGATGCAAAAATTTCAAGCTAAATTCACTACTCCGTATTAATCATCGTGGAAAACGATGCCCTTCAAACGTGGACCTTGACCAATTCAGTCTCCAAATCGAAGAGCTTCTGCAGGCAGGATATTAAAGTAAAAGCAAAACAAAGGGATAGCAGAACTGTCCAAGCAAGATAGAAGAAATTCAACAAAGCACGCAGCAACTGTGTAAAATAAAAACACTGAGACAAAGAAAATATAACAATCGCAGCCGCTGAATTTTGTCAAACGGTTTACATGTTTTGGCGGGATTGTGTAAAAACATTTCTTGTCACGCTCCTCGCAAATGATTACTGTCTCTTAAGGTCTTGATATTAATTAAACTCACAAACATGACTTTCAAAGCAAAGACACGCAAAACCACAAGAATTTATGACAATTCTGTAAATTTGGAATCAAATTGAACGGATGCATGCAATTAGTTGCGTACTTATATTATCGAAACAATTTTTATTTCACACAACTATTTTTTAAAATATTTATATACATAAATGGGCCCCGCACCGTCCTTGTACCGACGAATCAAATTTGAAAATTTCGTTATCCAACGTTTTTCTCTGTCGTTAATAATAAGTTTAAGGACTGACACGAAAGAATAAAGTGAAAATAAAAACAATAACACACAAGTATAATGGCACACGACAAAGTAAAGTACTGACTTGATTAGTATAAGACAAAACTGAAGCAAACTGTAGTATTGGCGTAGCATTTGAAACAAAAAAAGTAACAAATTTTCAAAAAATTTCGAGGAAACAAAGAAACAAAATTACCAAACAAACCTTAACGACCACTGTACGTAAAACACAGGCGTCGCCACGCGGTCGGCGTGTCCCCGGCTCGACGTTGCTTCTGCGTAGCAAAACAGAGATTGCGCAATTCACCAAAGAGGGAACAAAGTAGTAACAGTAGCAGTACTCAAATCCCTAGAAATTTCGACCCTTTGATTACAATTGTAGAAAAAGATGCAAAGTATTCGTTAAATCCACCAAAGAGGAAGACACGAAGGAGCCATCACGTTAAAAGATCCAGTAAACTCATTGGCGAAACAGTAGAAGAAAAAAGTAAGAAAAGAACGCGAGAATCCTTGCAAAATCCTACATATATATATACACACATATATGTGTTGTAGGTCTTCAAAGGATGCATGGTCCACTTGGTTGAAACTTCACAGGATACGTAGAGTTAAAAAATAAATCAAGTAAACCACACGAGAGTACACGACACTTCCGTAAGATGGGCGATGAGAAACGCCACAGTAATGAATTACAAACGAAGAAGAGGGTTCGCAGAGGAAACTGGCCCAAAAATATATATAACAAAATAATGCTCTGAAGAAAACGTACACGAACATGGACGTTACTCGCACGAACTTCCGAGTGCGACTGGCTGCACGGGCCAGGTGTCCCGGCTCTTTATTCCTTTTGGGGCGCCGAGAGCTTCAAAGTTCTGAGCTATATAGCCGGCTGATGCGCCCTTGGTGGGGATATATTCTTATTTAACAGCCACACAACGGGCCCATAGGTTCTCCTTATCCCCACCATGAAAATCATCATGGCGCACAGGCCCATCTTCCCCTATCAGCCTTTCGACCTTTTCTCCTTCTACGTGCGAGTGCGCCCGCTTTGTCGCGCTGGATGGATGGATAGATGGATGAGGTATAGTACATGAAGCATGGGGCCCAAAGAACGGGCCCGCCAAAATTGTATCAGCTGTCCGGATTTCTGGGGGAAGAGACGGAGTGCCTTATAATACACGATACTCACCTTCTTCCTTCACTTTTTATTCCTTTTTTCTTTTCTCGTCTTCTTTTTTCTTTATGTGTCTGTTTGTCGCTCTCTTTCTTTCTTTCCCCTTATTTCTACGAATTTCTACTGTTTCTCCTATTTTCAAGCTGCATTCAGAAATTATGGGAGAGAGACAAGATCCAGGTAAAGCTAACTGCTGCCGTTGGCTGTTACCGGTTAGTCGACATAGCTACAATTAAAAAGAATATAACGTCAAATGTATATATACTTTTGAATTTGCGAACCCTTTCTGGCCCCCTTTTATATATTTCTTTTTATTGCGCTTCTTTTCCTGCAGGGTTGATATTCTCAGGGGTAACTGGTATTGAAGGACTAGTGCTTTCTTGCACACCGATCGATTTTGCCAACCGTTGTGTCTCGCATTTAAATATCTATGGGATATACATATAGTTTGGTCAATATATGTATATCACGTGTGATAATTGACATTGTGGAAATTTCATGTCCTTAAAAGTTTAATCATTTTTAATTATTAAACTCTTGAAATCAGGCAGCTAACGACGTACTGTTTCATAGGCCATCTTCTTGTGGTTTGTATTATAAAGGAGTCCCATGAACATGCAATCTTATTTATAGACCATACGTATACTTAATCTATAAACGTTCCGTTGTTCATAAAAACCATACATATGATACAAAGCCTACAATCATTCAGGTGTTCTTTGTATTGACTAACTAGAACGCATTCCTCCATAAATATGATAACGATCGCATGGTGAATCATCATCTCACAAATGCATCGAGCGTTAAAACGAATCACGCGATTTCGGTCCAGTTTAAAAATTATTCAGAATTACGTAATAACAATAATCACTATTGAAGAGTGCATAGTTAGACAATATACATATAATTTAACAAACATTGAATAATCATAATGGAACTGTCAAACATAGTTAGCATAATATTAAAAAATTGTACGTATATCAAAGCATAATTAAAGATCATTCTGGAATGGAAATTCAAATCATATGATAATAAGCGCCTGCGTACACGTGCAAAACTGTATGAGGTTGCGCATGCGCAGTGAGTATCGCACAAGAGCGCCATACGTAAATTCTTATGTGTAAATCGAATAAAATAATCAGAAATAGCAGATAAGTTTCCTATTGCCAAGATAATAAAATAAAGTTTGAGAACCACTTGTAGGAGGACAGCTGCGCCCTGAGCGCATCTGCTGTCGGTTGCGCGGGCACGCGCTTATACTTATGCTTATGCCTGTGCTTATACCCCAAGATGTCCATTCTCCCTCTTTTGGCCTCCATTTTACCCTCTTTTTTAACCCTCCTCTCCTCTTTCTTTTCCATTCCCATTTCTATTCCCACCTCCTCCTCCTGGTTCTACCTTTTTTTTTTTTTTTTTTCGAATCGTTCCATCTCACTTCTGGTTCCTTAGGCTCATCCAACCGAACCAGGACTCAGCCAATTCACCAAAGAAACGTAAAAGAAATGGTTACATGCATGGTGTACACGTACTTCTCACGTATCAATTCCCTTCCTTCTGTTCTATATTCAATTTTTTGATTTCTTTCCTCCTTCCTGTAGGCAATGAATACATATGCCTAACCTTGTTAACTATAGTATATAACTAGGTATACGTACTTATGGTTTCTCTAGGTACCAGGAATCCGGTGGACTCTTTGAAAATCTGTCATGGCGCGTATTCACCTCTTGGTCCGCGCGTAATACCACTACTTTGTTATAAGGGCATCGTGCAGCCGGCGTAGCTCACTGAAAAATTCTCTTTGTCCCTATTGTTCAAAGGGATTTCCACGGCGGGTTACTTCTCCTGGTAAAAGGGACCATGAAGTAAGGATCAGAGCGACAGCAATAGTCTTCTTAGAAATTTTCAAATTTTTCCTCGGTACCTACTTGTTTCCTTCTTCCTCTCGTCGTTTATCCATAGGGTTGTCTATCTGTCTCTATGGTCTATGAGGATGGGATAGGTATCCAGTACCTACCGATGAAAGCCGGTGGCTCTATTGCTATACAGACTTTTCTATTCTTTCCACTGGGTAAGAATGAACTACGTAGACCCTTGCAGAGATTCTATTTGCATAGCGAAAGATTCCTCCTTGAACCAGCCGTATCTTCTCATTTCACGCACCTGGACGTCAGCTACGTGGTTAGCAGGCATGGTTACGATGGATATATTTAATGTCATTTCTTTGGATATTTTTGATGTTTTTATTTATGCTAACCTGTCGAGTAATCATTTTTGGTTGAGCTGGTTGTGGGTTTTAATAAATCAAGACTGAGCTTACCTTGTCTCTCTTTGTTTCTCTTAATAACTCTACTTTCACTATGAACAAGGTAGAGTATGGTGGTTGTAGAGTTGACTGTTACCTGAAGAAAATTCTGGTATTGTCATTTTTCTTGCACATTGACAATGAGGTTGACCTAGCTAAACTTTCAAGACCCTTACCATACGTCCATCCCATTGCCAACTTTTATTTGCATGAAGGAATAGTCGGCCTGGACCCAGGGTATCCTTCTTTTTGCTCGCGCACCTGGACAATCCTCTGGAAAAATATAGAGCTTCTGGTACTGTTCAATAGGATTTGAAAATATTCCCAAATTTTTAATGATCCCATAGGAGAACTGCAACAAGCGTATTTTATTTGATTTATTTCATACGCATGGATTTGTTAATAAAAAGTGCCATAAGTATGATAACTTGTCTGGTTCGCATATAGTATATACAATGGTATAAATCGATAGGTATAGAGCAGGTAACACCTGGGAAACGTTACTTTGAAATTGTTTCAGAATGGTTAATTAGAAACAGCCAGGTGTGAAATTACATCAAGGCAATGACAATTCCTTGAATTTTGGGTGGCAATAAAGCAACTTCATGACCAAGGCAATAATATTATTTATGGATTGCCGTTTTACGGCCCAATGGTAAATTAGAAAATGGTGGCATAAATTCGAAGTCAGTGTAATACTCAAAGAAAGTGACCGGTGGAAAGTTTTTTTCGGTACTTATACTACAAATATTTATTTTTGCACTCTCTTGGCAAAAATAATAATTAATAAACTACAATGAATTCTTACGACGAAACTTTCAGGAAAAATCCTACAGAGAGATGTACAATCTATCCAGGATAGGTGTACAGGGTGAAACCAGCAGCGTACCGTATGGGCCATACACCGTGGGGCCCAGATGGCAAGCGTTGGGCCCCTTGCTTAAATTTTAAACGCGATATACAGCCCGATGGGCCTTGTGCCACCTGCTCTACACCAAGCTAACGCCCGATTTCGTCCAAATAAATTCTCTGGAAAAACATGTCTACCCATTTTAACATTTTACTTTGTTGGTTCACACTTTGCGCCCGTCCATTACAATAAATATAATTTTTATTAAACTTATCACAGATTGATCCATACGGAGCCCATGTTAGCTACTGTGAACAGAAGTTCACAAACGTTTTGTATCGTGGTCCCATTTTGTACTTCTTGAAAGACGTCTGCTACAAGAAACTCCCAAATAATTTCCATTTCACAGGTAGGTTCAACGTATAAATTCACAAGGAAAAAGTTTTGAGTTACAATCGTTTTCCAACGATCGTGAACCAGCGTTACAGTTTGGGACGGGTTTGAAAAGATCTTTGTTCGCGGAGGAAGTAGCCTTGCGTTAGTGTGGATATACGTGTCTTTTTCTGTATTGGTTCGCCGGTGTGTCACCGGAAGTCCAACATACATAATACCCATGGGTGCGCCTGCGAGCTATTTTTCGCTTCACTGACAAATAAAAACAATAATGAGGCATAACGTGCACGTCGAAAAAAATTAAGTGATACCGATCACATACTCTAATCAGGAAAAATGGAGCATGGATAGAGCGTCACGATCTTTCATTCTTGAAATCCTTGCCATTCAAACATTATTCATGTCTTCAGCATCATCTGGATAGATTTCTAGTAATTTTTTTTACAACGCCATCGGTAAATACCAAGAACATTTGTTACCTGATCAGTTGAGACATGAGGTATCATAAGGAGGAACAGACATGTTTGAGAACTTTACAGAAAGATTTCTCTTGAGCTTGAAACTTATGATGGTTTTACGAAATATTTAAATACAATTTTAATTTTGATCAACCTGACTGAAGCCAGTTTGGATTGATTGATTCTTTTTTCTGTAGGGTAAATTTATTTCTTAGAAGAAAAAGGTTCTACAGTAGCGAACCTACTGTTGGATAGTAGAAATTCTATTTTATCGACTAGATATGTCGGTTGACAGATGTCAAAAATAGCTGAATATAAATTAAACTTTCACTGGAGTTAGATGATAAATATCTTTCGATGAAAGACTAAGGACCGGTTTAACTAAAGTTAACTGAGGTGTATTTGGCGAAGTTAGCTAATCAGGTATCGGTATTTTCGAAAATCCCGGATCCGATTGGTTAGTGTTAATAGGTAAACCTCAGTTAACTTTAGTGAAACCGACCCTACGGGCTTCGTGACCTCGTTAGAAAGTGGCTCGATTCTCCAGGAGGTAGTTCAGAGAAATGCGTCTACGAGGATTTTTCGGCGAGAATTGGCTGACGTGTCGATCGACAGGGCGCGTGTGATGATTTCAAACCTCAGTTAGTCTTATCGTACAGGAAACCGCTGAGGACTATTTCTAAACGAAGCCTTTCAGTTACTCGCGTGCAGAGTGTTAGTAAAAGTCTTGTCCTATTCCGTCCACGTTTAATGGTCTCAATTATTGTTTTACTTCTCTTTTCTATCATTCAATACTTTGCATTATTTGCTTGATGTATCTTTGCTGGGCTCTTTTCATTAAAAGTTTACCTAATCATGCTCTATGTTCAGTGACTGATAAAGATTAAAGTACTTATTATCTTATTTATCAAAGATTATAAATGTTAAAAAATTTATCTATTTAAGCCTGTGAAATCTGTACTTTTTCTTGTGCAGTTGTATTTGATAGGTCTAGTATTTTTTACAAAAAGGAGTTTATTTAATGAATCAATATTTATATTTTTCATTTGAAGTTTCTAATATACTATATGATAGTGTATTTTTCGTGGTGTATGTTTTATGGAATGAGAAATATAGTATAGGGAGTGTAATTTTTTCTATTTAAATATATATATATATTATTCATATTGCTGAAAGTACTATTAATCTTTTATAATGGCAACAAAGAGTGAAAAGGAATATAGAAATGGCAAAGATATGCCAATATACCAGAAGGATTCCAAAATTGTTAGAGTAGTCTTTATATCGTTACTTTTGGATCTATTGGCATTTACAATGATCCTGCCACTATTACCAGCACTTCTGGATCACTATGAACAACTGGATAAAGGACAAGGACTTTACTCCACAATTCTTAATCATATTCGAAAGATACAAGTATACCTGGATGCACCAGATAAATTTAATTCAGTTCTATTTGGAGGTAATTTTATCTTATGAAAATGATTGGTTATAGTATTATGAGATTTATTAAATTCCTCAGGATTCCTAGGCTCCATGTATTCGTTCCTTCAATTTCTGGGCTCTCCAATTGTTGGTGCGTTATCTGATGTTTATGGAAGGAGACCTATGATGCTACTGTGCCAATTTGGAATAGCACTTTCGTACCTGCTTTGGGCATTTTCACACAATTTTGGATTATTTGTATTGGCCAGATTTGTTGGCGGTATCAGTAAGGGTAACGTCAGCCTATCAATGGCAATAATAAGTGATGTTACTTCGCCAAAGACTAGAGGACGTGCTATGGTGATAAAGACTTTTTTATATAAACATTACTTGGGGATGTCTATATTCTAATCTATGTTTCTTTTCCAGGCTTTAGTGGGTATTGCATTCTCTGTTGGTTTTGTTATTGGACCGATGATTGGAGCTTTATTTGCTAGAATTTCTAGTGGACACAGAGAAGGACACTGGTATGCAGTACCTGCTTTATTTGCTCTTTGTCTTGCTGGTAGTGACCTTATTTATGTTGCTTTCAATCTTAAAGAGACATTGCCAAGTGGTTATAGAGCAAAATCATTAGTTACTGGCATATCTGGTGCATTGACATATATTAATCCCATGGATCTATTTCAATTTAATGGCGTCTCTGGGCTGAAGAAGGATGGTGAGAAATATTGATCTTGTGATTTTTTTGAAACTTTTAACACTATACTAAACTATTCATTTCAGAATTGCACAAATTAAGGGTCCTCGGTCGTTCTTATTTTGTTTATTTATTTATATACAGTGGCCTTGAATTTACCTTGACTTTTTTGACACATCATTCGTTTGGATTTACCAGTATGCAACAGGGTTGGATGTTTTTGGGAATTGGATTAACAATGGCCATCTTACAAGGTGGCTGGGTGAGACGAATTCCTCCGCACAAGACAAAATCTATTACTGAACTGGTATAAAACACAGTATGCATATATATAATATGACAAATGAAAGAATGACATTTTATATGTAATTATTGTGATTAATTAGGGTCTTTGGTTAATTATGCCGGCTTTCGTTTGTGTTGGAATTGCCAGGGGAACGTTGATGCTGTATTTTGGTGTTTTCCTATTTGCAGTCTGTAAGTTATTATATTTTATTAGATATAAAGTAATGATTTTTTATTTTTGCGTAATTAAAATTTTTTTAGCAACTGCAATGGTAGTTACTTGCATGATGACTCTAGTGTCGCGCATTGGACCAGAAAATCAAAAAGGCGCTATAACTGGAATTTTTCGCTCTCTAGGAGCACTAGCGCGTGCTTGTGGCCCAATAGTGGCTTCTATAGGTATATAAAAGTATGCCTTTATTGTACGAAATTATTTTTATCTAATAAAAATTGTTTTAATTCTATTCTAGCATTTTGGAGCATTGGTAGCACAACAACTTATTTAATAGGTGCTATTTCTCTTGTTATTCCACCAGCTATACTGCGGCCACTTGGATCAATTTAACTCATTGTCAGTACAATATTAAATACTTAGTGACCTAATATTTTATAAAGCATACAAGAAAGTATTTATATTTATATTTGTATTTAATGCATGACAATAACGTGATAAACGAGTAAACTGTAGTTTTATACTGATAAAAATTTTATTACTTTTTGATAGCTTTTATAAAATATTTTATATGTAATATAAGAATTTTATATTCTATTTTAAACACAATACTATTGTTAATCAAATTTTTATATTTATATATTGAAATATATTAATAATTTTTTGTTAACAATTCTTGTGTATTCTTTAAGAATAAACAATTACCAATACTTACACTTTAATAAAAGATCATACCCAGCTTACAAACGATTGCTATCCAACTGTGAAACCAGTGTGTATGACATCCAAATAATTGTACTCACGATAATGTAAGTAAATAACAATTTATTTTTCTACTCTATTCATGTCTAATATAAAGTAGCAAACTACTAATGCTTGGGCAAGTTTGATTAACTTATAACTATATCATTGCATGAAATCCAATGAAGTTTCACAAATTACAATACAAAGTGAAATATCAATTACAAGTCGACCATAAGCTATTGACTAACAATTCATTCTTTAATCGATAAGAAATCTCAATCGGTATTGAATGGCAACAAAGTGTCATCCATTCAGGGCGTTATTATCATACCCAGTGCTAAGAAAAATGGCGTACTTTATCACGTGATCATCCCCACCTTCGTCCTATCCAATAAGAACGCGCGAATACTCTTGGATTCCGGGAAGTGTGCTCGTCGGCCCGCGCCAGGAGAGAGAATTGACCGATCGACGAAAAGACGAGGAGTGTCTTCGAGCTACGACAAATAACAGTTTAAGTGAATCCTGGCAAGAAGCCTGGGAAGACGGAGTATTAGTGCGCGTTGGTGTATAGGCGCGTGAATTTGGCGACGAGGAAGAGGGCCACACGCATCCTGGGCCCGTCTTCGGATCCAGCAGGTATTCGATGACGCTTTTGAGATCTCCTTCTCTATGTACTCATGCATCTCTCTATAACTCTACCTTCTTTCAAGTTACGGTGAATCTCATTATTAAACACGCCTATGGATTTCTATGCTTTCATAATTATCCATAAGTTCTCAACTCGTACCTCCTCCTTTGGTTTATCTATCTGCGCGTTATCGTTATCTGCGACACTGCGACGTCTCGACATGAGACCTCCGGGGAGATTTTTTTAGTTTCATTTTCGAATTGAGCGTATTCATATACTTTTTTTCTCTATCCAGTTTCTTTTTATCTTTATATATATTATTTATTTCGATGGACTTAGCTTGTCTTTTCGATTATGTATTCGCCGTATATACGGGTAATTTATTGGAGCATTTACGCGTCATGGGTTTTTCCCTAGGTTTCTATGGTGCTTCCTCTTGTATATGAATAAATATTTATTTTTTGACTTACGCATTACCGATGTTTCGTAAGTTTTCTCAACTCAAGATAATATTTTTGAGTCTGTTATATTAGCTGATGAAATTTTTACAAATAGTATTCAGTGTTCATAGGTTTATTTTTAGACACGATTTTGTCTCATTCTTTCACGCGATTGTTGTATACTTGCACTTGTTTGATTGAAATTTTTATCTAATCTTATTTATACGCTTTACTAATTTATATTTATGTTTGTTTCTTGTGTCTCGTTTATTTTAGGATCTGTCATGCGAACTTATGATTATAAATTTATCAATATTTCTTAAGGCAAAATAATTTTATGACTATGGAAATAGCTTGGCTCTTTTTTACGTTTATGATTAGATTTATGACTTTCCTTAGAATGCTATTGTTCTTAAGAAAGTTTACACTGTAACAGTTTATTGATTGCATAATAGCCACAATCTTTTTTCTTTTTCATAAACAGTATCTCTTAAGAAAATAAAGCATTTGGCACACAGGGAATCATCTTATCACGTTGGAGGTTTATTCAACTTCATCGACGAATGTATAAGGCTTATAGTGGTTTGATAATCGTTGTATTCTTTATAAAGGAATTTTGTTTCAGGAAGTGTAAAATAATTACATTTGTTGATATTAAACAGATCAATGAGAGGAATGTAAAGAATTATTTTTCATCTTTTTGTTAATTACAATAGCTTCTTGTTGACATTTGCAGGGCCAGAATCATTAAATTGAGGTAGAAAAATGTCGCTGTGGGCAAAAGCACAGCAGCTGCCCCAGGAGGCACTGCAACAAGTGCGATCCGTTTATGGAGAGCACTTTCCTATTGAAGTTCGTCATTTTCTATCATCATGGATAGAAGACAAGATGTGGTATTTATAAAAAAAATGGAAAAATTGACTTCATTAGTTACTTTGGTGTGAAATAACTTTATTTTTATATTTAGGACGGATATAGAACCAGACAATCCACAGTATGAACAGTACATAGCAAATTTAGTAGGCTCCCTTATCCAGGAACTTGAGAATAAAGCCAATTCCTTAAATACTGAAGACCTCTTCCTCACGAAGCTCAAGTTGATGGAGGCTGCCAAGATGTTTCGAGTGAGTTCATTTATTTAAATAGGCGTAAATTTAACCAGAATGGTTACCCATACTTTTGTTTATAATAGACGATAAACACTTCTGCCTTCCTTCCTTCTAATCTTTCCAGACGCCAATTTCCATATCCTTCTAAGTTATGAAATGTAACATAAAAGATTTGTGAATGTATGAAATCTAATTTATCATTATAAGGAAAATAATATTCCTAGAACTTAAGTCTAAGCGGATTACAGTTGGCATGCTTATTATTTTTCTTTCACGTTTTATTGTCATCAGGCTATACATACTAATGAGTGCTTATGTACAATTTTCGAAATGTTCATTTCTATTGTAGCAAAGATATAGCCAGAATCCAGGAACACTCTTCAGGATAATTCGACATTGTCTGGGGACAGAGATGAAGCTCGTAGCGCAAGTTGAGAATCTTGGTGGCGCTTTGATGAGCATGGCCGGTGGAAGAGTTGGCCTTATGGTGGGCGACGCGGTTGCTGAAATTGCACAGCAGGTTGAGGTCTTGCGACGTCGTACACAGGAAACTGGTGAGGATTTGAGGAAGATGGAACAGGAACAGGAAGCCTTTGCCATAAGTTATCATGAATGTACAAAACTAAATGCGCACCTGCAACATCTAGCAACACAGCCACAAAGTCAGCAGAGCATAGACTTGGAGAAAAAGATACGCCGGTAAATTACTGTGACATCCCATCATGAAAAATAAAGATTTACGTTGAATCACTAGGTTGACTTAGGACAATTGTCCATTATTAATTTTAGACAAAAGGAACAGCAGGAACAGCTCCTTAATCATAAAGTAGCTAGCTTGATGCAGCTGCGACTAAATTTGGGAGATAAACTTAAGGATACCATCGCGCGATTAAACAGTTTGCAATCACGTGTTCTCGATGATGAACTCATCCGATGGAAACGGGACCAGCAATTGGCTGGAAATGGAGCACCCTTCAACAGTAACCTGGATTCCATTCAAGAGTGGTGCGAAAGTTTAGCTGAATTAATTTGGCTAAATAGACAACAAATCAAGGAAGCTGAAAGACTCAAGCAGAAGCTGCCCCTTGATCCACCAGGCGTTCAGGACATCTTACCTACACTAAATTCACAGATCACTCAGCTTCTAAGTTCCTTAGTAACGAGCACCTTTATCATTGAAAAACAACCACCTCAAGTGATGAAGACTAATACGAGATTCACGAGTACAGTGAGGTTGCTCGTTGGTGGTAAATTAAATGTTCATATGACGCCACCTCAGGTTAAGGTCAGCATTATCAGCGAAGCACAAGCCAATGCATTGTTAAAGAGTGACAAAATGGCTAAAAGCGGAGAAGCTAGTGGTGAAATTCTTAACAACACAGGAACAATGGAGTATCATCAAGTGAGACAATATAAACATTAGTTTATTTATGTCATCACGTAATTAAGTAATTTTTATTACAAGCTAAATGTTTTATTCTCAGGCCACCAGACAACTCTCAGTGAGCTTTAGAAATATGCAGTTAAAGAAAATCAAACGTGCCGAGAAGAAAGGAACAGAATCCGTGATGGATGAAAAATTCTCACTTCTGTTCCAATCACAGTTTAGTGTCGGGGGTGGTGAATTGGTATTTCAAGTATGGACCTTGAGCTTACCAGTGGTGGTAATTGTTCACGGAAACCAAGAACCACATGCTTGGGCAACGGTAACCTGGGATAACGCTTTCGCCGAGCCAGGAAGGGTACCTTTCGCAGTGCCTGATAAAGTTCCCTGGGGTCAGGTCGCTGAGGCGTTGAATGTCAAGTTCAGATCAGCGACAGGGCGATCCTTAACCGAGGACAATCTTCGATTCCTGGCAGAAAAGGCTTTTAGAGGTGGTAACACAGGTGGTCAAGATTACACGGGACTACTGTTGAGTTGGGCTCAGTTTTGCAAGGAACCATTACCCGAAAGGAATTTTACCTTCTGGGAGTGGTTCTACGCAGTAATGAAACTTACGAGGGAGCATCTACGAGGTCCTTGGATAGATGGATACATCCTTGGTTTCGTGAGGAAGAAACAGGCGGAAGAAATGCTTGCATCATGCACTTCAGGAACTTTCCTGATGAGGTTCTCAGACTCGGAACTAGGTGGTGTTACGATCGCATGGGTTAGCGGTAACGTATCTATTTCACTTATAATTATCTTTTACCATTACGAAGCGTAATACCAGACAGTTAATACATTATTGGTAAAAATAATCATTTATCTTATCACAGATCAATCCGAAGTGTTCATGCTTCAACCATTTACCAGTAAGGACTTTGCAATTAGAAGTTTAGCCGACAGAGCCTCTGATTTACAACACTTGCTTTACCTGTACCCTGATTTGTCGAAAGATCAGGCATTCTCAAAATACTACACACCCTTCACAGGTTAGTCGAAGACTAAATATAATCTGCTGATTTCTCAAATCTAATGAAGTTGTATATATATATAATCACGCTGTCAGCGTTACAGCAGCAGCACGATAATAACCGGGCACAAGTGAATTTTTCAGATAAAAGTGACAGGCTTATCCTTCCTATAATTCGAACCTCATTCGTACACAGAAGAAATTCAAAAGCTGAGGTGGTTGCAAAACATTAGAAAATTAGCTGATATTAATGATATTATTTTAATTATTAAAATATTTAACAAATAACCTAACCTGACACTAACAATTACATAATATACGATACAACAATATTGCTGTCTTTTCCACAGAGAGTCAACCAACCTCAAACAACGGTTACGTGAAGCCCCTGCTGGTTACGCATGTACCAGGATGGGGTGGTCCAGGAGTCGGCGGACAGACTCCGTCGCACTCGTCGGTTACAGGAGTTGGCGGTGGTGGTCAGGGCGGTCCTGCAGGAAGTTACCCCGCGACACCATCCACCATCTTCCAGGCACATAGTCCTGACCCATCCGTCACGCGAGATACGCCATCAGTGGCTTCCAGGTCAGTTTCCTGGATTTAACCGACGGAAGTAAACTCCAAACCTAACCTACCCTATAATCCTCTTAAACGATTCGTATTCAATGAACTGCCAATGAAACACGGGAACGTATGTATTGACCTCGGCGCATATATGCACATCCGTATGAAGGTGCGCAAAGCTCTCATACACTCCATTCCAATAACGTCTAATAATCAGGAGAAAGGAAAATCATTGGGTATCATTTCATTGCTTATCATTGGGATTGGTGATGTACTTTTGAAAAGCTTTAAATAATAGAACGGGAACCAAGCAATGTAGACTGAAGATTATCTATTAGTTTTTAATTCAAAATTTGCTTTAAAGATCTCAATGGATAGATACTGTGCACTTACTTGTAAACCAATGGACTTGCCAATTGTGGACTACTGGATATTATTCTTCATTAGATTATATTCTTCCTTATATTTTAAACCTTTGATTAATTAATTAGGCGATCGTTTGTTTAAAACAGTATTGGGTACAATGGCGTTACGCGATGCTGATAGAAGATAATGGAGTGATCTTGCGCACCTGACGATGGCCAATTATCCGTGCAACTACTGTATCAGTATTCTTTACCGCGAAACTTTATATACTCGTAAAAAGTAATCTTTTACACAGTAATTCTAGCTGATCGAGCGATGCCTTTTGCACTCGCACTTTTGTTTTTTCCTTTATTTTTCTTTTGTAACTCTTTGTATCGTGGAATTTATATTTTTTTACCTTCGCGTATCCTTGGTTTTTTATTTTTTTTTTTTCAAATTGGAAAATCGCCTTTTGTACGTCCAACTTTTTTAAGATTAATTTGCATATGACGCTTTCCGTCGCGATGCGAATCATATCGAGCAAAGAAATCGAGCCCGACCCCTTTTTAAAAAAATATATATGTATATAGCTATTAGTGTCATTATACTCGGCTAATAGTTAAATGGAAGTGACGTGCATCGGAACGTGTGTCGAGTATCGATTTAAAGAGATATATATGAAAAGTTAGTATGCACGGAATAAAAAATATTTTCCATGAAAAACATTGAAGTTTACGATAACTGAGCATCTTTTCAGGTGGACCAATATGCATTTAATATTGAAATATTTCCATTTTTTTTTTTATAAGTAATCATACTACCATTCTCACTCGACACACGATCCTGTATGACGGAGGAAAAAAAAGATAACCTAGTTATTTTATAACGTTAGACCATAAGGCTTTCAGTCTCTCTGAGGGACCAAGGACTCAATCGGTTTATCGAAAGTTCATAAAATTTTCGAAATCAGACAAGGGCTCCAAAGAAAGGCCATTTCGACCGATGTATAAATTTTAACGATAAGTTGCAAACGCATTAACGTAAAAACAATAACGATTAAGCGATTTTCTTTATTTACACGATTGGATATACGTATCTCACTGTTGAACGTTACAAAGTCTTCTTATTTTTCGTCTTAATCGCCTAATCGTCAAACTGTCGAACGTCTAACGCATCGGCTTTGTCCAAGGCTCTGAAAAAAAGAAAAGAACAAAAAACATGTAATAACTAAGACGTATTTGTAATCACACGCAACGATGCTCAATGCACGAGTCTCGGCCCTCGCGGGCCACGTTGCTTCTCTCCATTCACCATAATAATTGTTAACGTCCACGTTAGTTATTAACTAATTGAACCATGCGAGGAGTTTAAGGAATCAATATAACGAAGGCAAAGGCCTGGAGCAAGCCGGTACAACCAGAATTTAAAGAATTCGATTGACGTCGCGTGGGACAGGCACGCTGAGAATATAAAGAGACGAGAGCGCAACTCCAATCACTACTCGTTCAATACACCAATGAAAACGATACTGGCAATCGAGTAGACTGAGTATCACTTTTAAACTATATTTAGAAATAAACACGAAAGAGTAGCGACGATCCTCGAACCAAGGAAAAGGACGCTGGCGGCTCGTACGAAAGAAGAGCGTTGAGGACGGATAAAGGAATAAAAAGACAAGAGAAAGAAAAAAGATATTAAAAGGAGCATAGGAATTTTCTAGCCTCGGTCGTTGTTGTTATTATTATTGCTGTCGTTATAAGAATTACGAAGCATACAACAATTAATTATATTGTGTATGTGTCTGGTGGTTGCTTTGTACGCTGCCGTGTTGTACCGGCTTGATCCGTTAGAAAAGTATAAAATAAAAGAAAGAAAAGAACAAGACAAAAGAAGAGAAACTCTCGTTGTGGTGATTCGTAACTTTTTTTTTTGCTTTTGCTGCCGCTTTGTATTTCGGTTCTCTCTTGATTTTCTCGATTATTATTTTTTTTTTAACTTTTTCTTTTTGTTTGTCCAATTTTTATCCACGTGCGCATTGTTGCTCTCTCTTTTGTCTCTTGGTGAGGGTTGCCAGTGATTGGGGTTGTGTCTTTTGCCTAGTGGTAGCTACGCTCCAGGTCTCGGCCAGTCTGGCGTCGGTCGTGGCACCTCCGATATGGATTACGTTGAGCTGATGGGCCACCCTGAGCTTCCCTCGATCGACGACAATCTCAACCTGGATCAGCTGAACGGATTCGGGTTCTCCGAGTTTATGCAGTCCTACAACGCCAAGCCGCAATAATAGTGAGTTGGATATACTGATGATGATGATGATGATGATGATGATGATAATGATGAACGCAAGCAAACAAGCAACAACGTTACTACGAGGGAGCGTAAATCAATCTAAACCTCTTCCTGTATCACCTCTTTTTTCTACTCGCACGTCTCCTCGGAGACGTTCTCACCAATTGCTCCTTAATTGCTATAGTACTTATCCATATCAATCGGAAATTGAGGACTATGCTCTACACAATGTTTTCTAGTAGCGCCTAGTATTTTTAGTAATTATTAATGCTAATTGATATCGCATATTATCAGTATGACTGTATTGTCGTATGTTATTTCACACGGTCGGCATTGGATAATCCTGGTCCACTGTTACTGGACGCTCCCTTGGTATTATTATTGTTGTTATTATTATTATTATTGGTATTGTTATTGTCGGTGCGTTGTTATTATTGATAATCGGGAGCGCAGGATTATCAGTGATTGGCCAATCGCTTTTTCGTGATGCCATGATGTTGATTATTGTGACGTGGATGTATGCTCACGTCATGGCAATCCGATGCTTCCCTTTGGCCGATGCTGTGACCTATATAAAGCGCGAGCGTCCTTCCAAAAACGTCTTCTATGCGAAGAGACGTGTAAAAGCTTATTTATTCGTTCATCGTGAACTTTTTATTTTCTTCTCTCCCGTTTAGTCGTACTCGCGCACCTTCGCCTTATCTCGCCCGTTGACACCGATTTTATTTTGAGTAGAACTTTTTTTTTTCTCGGTGTCTCCCTCTGGAGTCATGCGATGAACTGTGGGATCGTCTTTTTTATTTTCCTGGGATCGCTGTCTGATCTTTGTTTTTTTAAATTCTACTCTTGGAGGACTGTTGGTAGAATTAAGAATCATTTCTTCCATGTGTTTGTCACCGCGTAGTTTTTTTTCTTTTATTATATATTTTTCTCTATTCGATTCGTAGCGGGCAATCTAGCCGATTTTTGGCGATCTTCCTCGTCATAGCCGCGGGCATTGGGTGTATGAGTGCTACTGTTTTAAAAAATATATATATTAATTAGTTAAGTAGGATAACTATCTAGGACTCGCTTACTTAGTTTTTGTCTTTCCTTATTTTTCTTGTAATCGTTCTTTAATCATAGCGTCTACAGCCGACAAAGCCTTCGCGCTACGAAGAGCAAATTATTCAATGCGAGCATGCGCGCGCAACGCCGGAAACCGCATCTAGCCGCGTTATTAAAAAGATGGACCTCGTGCTAAGAGCGATTCCCCGTGTATCAGGATCAATGAAATATTGCCGTCGATCGTATGCTAGAACAAGAATTTTTTAGATAATTTTGTAGAGGAATGGAAAGTGGTTTCCCTAGATTTTTAAAAAAAAAAGAGAAAGTTGAACTAAACGTAAATAACCATCATAAGAAGATGGCCAGTGTTATACACGTTGCCAGAGCTCAATTGTAATGATTAACGTGGGGATAGAGACAGTGAGTGACAATGATAACAGAGTAAGGAGAATTCCTGCAATTCATTTTTTCGACCCGGAACGACTGTTGTACAAATTTTGTTCAAAAACTAAATTGTATGTATCGCATGCTCAAAAGAGTTTGAATTAAGTGGGGGGTACCGTTTCAGTTCATTAGAGTAACGGGAATGAGCTTAAATGGATGGGAATTTCTAGAAATTTGGCTGCAGTACCGGCAATTGTCAATTTTTACTCCGTTTTTACTCCCTTTAGCAAGTAAAGAGATGGTATGTACTTTTTGACATGCTGGTAATTTACTCGCTGCTAATGAATAATGCTAACGACTGCGAACGCATTGCGAGACAAAATTATGTACAAATGAACATCGTCACGATGCTAATTGAATTTATCCTGTAATCGAATCAATCGATAGATTAATAACGGCGTCAGCTCCTTTGTAATTCTTTGAGTAATTTGACTTACCGAATTTTATATTGTAATGTGAAAAAAAAATTCTTTAAAACTATTTTATCATACGAAAGACTCGCTATCACGTCTTTTCTGTTTTACCGGTAGAACGAGTGGTACAAGCACGAACTCTATTAGTAAAGAATATGCGTCCAGTTAAAATCAAGGCTGTTTTGTCCCTCGAGCAAGACTTGTCATGTTTATTCTTCTATCGTACGTTATACATAATAACTCCATGGACGTTGAAAGTCTGTTAGCCGTTATTAATTGAGATTAAAAGTCCACGATAAGAATTGCAACTGTAGATAGGGAAACAATTTCGCTCTACGAGCTCACGTTGTTGAGCTCACAGTCTTTTCGACTGTTCTATATACAAGTGCCTTACACAATAAATACGGAGCTCAACATTGATCCTCGCCGAAGGCTTTGTTAGATGAATAGCAAGAGCAGGAAGGATGAAGAGAAAAAGAAAAGAGACATCGAAAGAATTTGTAAAAAAAAAAAGTGATAGAAAATGTGAAAGCGTATGAGAGTGAGAAATATGTGAGAGCTTTCTAAGGAAAGGTCAGGTCAAGCGAGTGGTGGAATGAAGAAGCAAATAATACGACGGAGTACAAATCCGTAGAATGTACATTATTATGCTTCTTTGACACTTCATTTTTAAATGATCCCACGTGGCAGCCTCATTCTTCCACTTCCGGTAATCGGGCAACGTAGGCCTCTGGTAGGCGTGATGCGTGATGATTTTCAATGTCAGTGATAAAGGATTAGGTTCGCTAGCGAGTTTTAGAGATTAAGAAATTCTATAATTATTATTGAAAACTGTCATTGGAGGTATTGGGATTAACGGTGGATGACGTTATATTATGCTTCTTGGTTGTATGTATCTTTTTTTTTTTTTTTTTTTCATTCATTTATCACCCGTACAGATTCAAATAGGTAAATGGTTGTGTAAAATGTTTATTTATAATTTGTAAGTCTTTTTTTTACTGTCAATATGCTCTACTATTAATCGAACGGATGAGTATTTTTTTTTACTGTAACGAGGATGAGGTTGCACGTGCATTGACGGAGGAGAGAGAATGATTTACCATTAATTCGAAGTGCTTTTTATTATGTGGAATGATCAGAGATAAGAAATCATTGAACGGATATGAATGATTAGACGCATCGTTGTCCTTTTTATATGTATCATTATATGATATGCCGAGCGGTCGCCGCAGTCTGTCTCGACGTTGGCGTCGCGCGTTACATGCAATATTGTCTATTGATCTTTTTATCAAAGATTAGAGTTTATTTTATTATCGAGAGAGAAAGTGGAAACACGTTTTACCGTTTGTATAAGATAGATTTCTTACTATTCGAATTATAATCTATATAAATAAATGAATATATATATATATATATATAAACACAAATTAAAAACACACACACACACACACACCTAATTTACATACGAAAGATATATTGTAAGTCACGCGCACTTGTTTGTACGCGCGATTCAATAAATTTTAAGCCTAATATCTATTATGTTGTTTTTCTTTGTTCAGTTACTAATTAAAATATTTTCTTATACAATAGTTATTTCTTTTTTGATATTATTTAAATGAGGATGCAAGACATTTTATGAAAATATGATGTATTTAAAATTTCAGAATTATATATGCCATATTCATAATGGACTTTTTGTATGAATTTTATGAACACACACTTATGTTCAATTGAGGACAATTTTCTTGCTGCTCTACGGGACAAGGACACTCTGTAGGCTCGCACTCTTCTATATAATATCCAGGCGCAGGGTAACTCATATGATATATGGAATCTCCAATCATTGGATCCTTTGGGGTTTGATATTGGGCTTTGCGTGCCCATGGTAACTCCTGCTTGGGTACTGGGGCCCATGGCTGATAGGATAACTTATTTACTGTATCTCCATCAATCTTGTCTGCGGATCTGCATACAAATTGTAATATATAAATCGAATGTGGCAAATAATACGCAATTATGATAACAACCAGTAGAAATCGTGTGAGCTTTCGATAGACCGTAAAGAGAATATTTGCACTCGTAAGGCTATCTTATATCGTCATTCATCAAAATCATTAATAATATAGTATGTGTTATTTAGAATTTTCATGTTGGATATCAAGGATAGCCGCTCGAACTTTCTACAGTCCTTATCAGAGGAGATAAAAATGTATATTGCACCCTATTGTATTACTATGTTGATTGGACTGTTATACAAATATGTATACTAGAAAAAGGATATTACGTTACCTGCAATATTGAACGTTGGGTTTGAAATTTTGCACCGGCTCCATTGGTCCTGGAGGAATGTAAGACAGCGCTGTTGTTGTGCGATCTTCAAATGGTTTACTGGATGTTTTAATGTTGTCGCAAGGGATTACGACTTCCGGTCTTCCTACAGCTTTTGGTACATAGTCGTGTCTTGTTGTTGTAATACTCTGCATGGGACCGTCACCCATCATATTTCTTCGACGTGGTATTATAAGGTCACGTCTCTCAGCGTTCACCGGTTGATAGCTTAACTACGAATTGATATGAGATTTTTAAAAGAAAAATTGTTATTGTTCTAATAATTGTACCGCCGAGCCTTATGTATTCTTTAAACATCTATTTAATATTCGCACCTTGTTTGTCGTATCACACGTCATTTTTTGGGTAGGTATTGATATACTTCCACAGGGTATCACTGGAATTACCGGTTCCGTATCACAGGGTAAGAAACTCTCCTTGTAGATGGTTTTGTCTGAGAATTGACCATCACATGGAAATATTATTGTCCCGCTTGGTACCACAGGCTTTTCCCTGGACGGCAATTCTGTTTCCATGTAACTCTTGGAATACGTTGTTTGGTCATCCATCAAAACGTTTGGTGGTCTATTTTTTTTTAATTGTCATGTAATTGAATTTATGACATATTTATAATACAATGTTATAATGTATTGTTAATGTAAGAGAGTACGAAGATAAATATTTTACAATATTTCTGGTAACTGTATTATTCATGTGTAATACAGAATAATTGATATACTTAAGGCGATAATGAAAACTTACACAACGACTAAAACAGATACTCGTAATTAATGAAATTAAAATTATAACTTTATGATGGAAGTTTGTTATTGTACTATTGTACTATCCTATTATTGTAATTGATCCTTACCTATAAATGGGTTTTCTCATCCAAGGATAACGTTCTTTCTGGAGCACACAAAATGGCTGATAACTCAGCTTCTGTGTAGTGTTCTTGTCGATAGCTTCAGAAGGTGGACAATATGTCATCCTCGGTTTATAATTGGGTACTGGCTCTGCACGTCCTGGATTCAGGTATGATAATCCTGCCGTAGTCCTTGTATCTAGCATGCCTGAACTAAGCCTGATACTTCCACATGGAATTATTATTTCTGGCTGAGGTATCATTTTGGGAATGTAATCATGACGTGTCGTTGTTGTGGATTGCATTCGTCCTTTACCAATTGTTTGCCTGAACAAAAAGATTACGGTGTAATTAACTTAATTACAGGATAACATCTATGTATCTATAAACACAGGGATTAAAGGTATACCTTCTACAAGGTACTATTGGCTTTGCTTTTACAGAACCCCAAACTGGTCTGTAACTCAATTTATTTGTAGTTTCATTTGCAAACTTATCCTTAGCCATATCCAAGCTATGCGTGGGTTTGAAAGGCTTTGGTCTTGCTTGTCGGGATGCTGTATGGTCCATATCCAGATACGAGAGATGGTAAGTTGTTTTTGCATCAATGGGTTTTGCTGGAGGACAGTAATTCCTCTCAGGAGCAAATGATGTGACCTTTGGTGGCTGAACATACCTCCTGTTGCACTGTACGAGAAAATTGTATAATGAGTTATGGTAATAAAGAATGTTTTTTACTCAGGTTATGTCACTTTGATATTGCATGGGCAGGTGGTTGGCCGTATAGGGGCAGCACAATTTTTCTTCTTTTTCGAAAATTCTATCACCTCCATGTCGTCGTCTTCTTCGCACTAATGACAAAGTCTAGTACAAAAGAAAATACTCCTTTCCGCGGAATAGCAAAATGTTTAATATAAAATGATTTCTAGTTGATTAAAAGCTAATACTGACAGTTCAGAAGACTCGGAGACAACTCGGAATATGAGTATCGGTTTTGTGCACAGTATACTCTGATTCTATAAAATACGTTGTTCACACTGAAAATATTAAAGTGGGTATCTATAAGTTATAAAAATTCTTCGTGATTTTAACGTGATATATTTACTGTATACAATATAATTATATGAATAATATCTATATCCCAATTAAAAAGATACTCGCAAATTAAGATCGGGCTAAATGTATAAACGTAGAGTGGATTATTCATTGCAGGATCGGTAGGGCATTATCGCAGAATTCTTTTCCTTCCATATATTAATGGATTGTTGATGTTGAATGAACATGCAAGAAAACTTAAAGTAACTCTGTCAGGATTCACGGTTTATGATCCTATCCCGGAGATTCGCGGGACAATTGAGGATATTTACAGATCATTCCAAATTATGCATTAACACCATGAGAAAAAGGGACTTTTATTCTGGAAGCGTTGAGTGAAAGTGTCAGAAAATGAAAATAATCTTGGTGCTCCATTCCCTTTGGCCCTGGAACAATACAATTATAGAATTATTAATAAAGAATATTTATTAAAGTATTAATACTAGTTCATAATTTGTATACTTTTCGACTATAACAGCTGGCATTTGGACGAGCTGTACAGGACTCTTTTGATCTTTCAATGCCTGTTGAAGATTCAGAATTTGTCCCCGCATTACGCTCATCTGTCTGTCAAAATTATGTCGATCGAAACCTCTGTCTTGCTGTAGTAAATCGTGAAAGAAAATCATTAAAACTTGATTGCACGGAAATATGTATAATGGATAGGATTGACTCACTTTGAAAAGCTGATAAAGATCGTCACAGAGATCCTGAACGAAATTTTGATCAGATAATTGCGGTAAAACGAGCTCTCGTGTGGCTTCGCTGAAAGGTTGCTTTGCTTGACTCAACCAAGCCCAGTGATAAGGATATGCACGCCATGAGTCAGGATGTTTAAATGGAAAAGCCAGGCCATTGTCGATGGCCGCAATTTTGACTTCACCATCCTCGTTGTTAGCTCCTTTGCTGCCTCCAGGTTCATATTTAATAAGCCAGTTATCGTTACCTAATCATATAATTATTCTCATTAGTCATGTATCAGCCTATAGCGTAGTTAATGTAAACGATAATTTTTTTATTACACACCTCTGTCAGTATTTCTAATGATATAATCCAGAATGACAAGTCGTTCAAATTGCAACTGAAATTGTCTACCAAGTTTTGGCAGTAGCGGTTCACTTTCCCATCTTCGTAGCCAGTAATCAGCATCTTTGTAACCATCTACAAATACCTGGAAGGAGCCGACCTTTGGCCGAAGACCGATCCGATTGAAGTGTGAACCGACCGTAGGAAATTGGTCCATGATGACTTGTTTCATTCGTGCCTTTTGTCTATCAAATCTTGGATAATTAAATGTTACGCTGACCAATTTTACAACTCTGGTGTTTGGAACTACACCCAAGCCAAGCTTCCGGTCAACTAGACTGGCACCAGCTTCGCTTAAGTAACCCTGATTAGGTATGAGGCAACTTCTGCCAAAACAACAAGGACAACACAGCTTATGCATCCACTTTGTCCATTTTGGATTCAATCTTCCATAAGGTTCTTCATCCTTTGGCTTAAATACACCGATAATTTTCTATGGAAGAATAGTCAGTTATAACATGGAGTACTAAATTTGAATATTTTACTATTTAATATTATCACTTACTCCAGCAGGGTTTTTTACAAAATAACTACCACTCGAGCCTTGATAAATTCTCTCAGGGAATATTCCACTGTCTATAGCACATTCTGCTTGCCATACTAACTCCGAAAATTGTGGATCATCTATAATGACATTATACTTGATATAACCGCAAAAGAATAAGCTTATACCACAATAGTTTAATACTGTTATCAGTATACAAAATCCTACCAGGAAATCTGTTGAATGTAACGTCAAGTTCCAGTCGACCAAGGAGAGGCTGGCTCTCCCGGTCTGTTCCAGGGGAATCAATGGTTATAGATTGTTCCGCACTAAGGGCAGGTATAAATTCAACGTCAGGCAACAAATCAGCTTCGTCCCTTGGTTGCAGTAAATTTTCAACTGGTGTGACTGATAAATCAACAAGAGCATCGGTCTCTACAAGAGTTGCTGGATTGGTTGAATTCTGTGAATGATACTCTCGATAAGGCACATGCAGCTGCCGCTGTTCCGAGTCGCTCATCACAGAGGAAATTCAGCTGGTCAGATTCAATCTGGGATTGCTGTTTAGCAGGGATGAATATATTTATCTGTTATGAGACATTCTTGCACTGGCCACCTGTCAGTGACGCACGCGATAGGAATCTTCCCTAGTGAAGATGATGATTCTCGATCTTTTCATTGGTCTTCTGATACGTGTTCTTGTTCTCTTAGACCCTAGATGACTGGATATGACCTCCAGTATTTATCCAGACCTCAATGATTATGTATTCCTCTGTATGATGGCTTGATGTGTCCTTAACCAATTAACCAAATTTTCAACCCGTCATCCCAGCAGACGGTTTCAGCTGATTAGGGCGCCTCCATTTTTTGTGTACCATCTTAACAACCCAAAAACTGAAATTTCTATTAAAAATATTTCGCCGTTTACATAAACTCTAATAGCAAATATTGAATAAATCCCATTTAAAAAGACGTAAGAAAGACGTTTTACGTTTACTTAAAAATAAACTTATAAGGGCTTTACGTATTTAGAATATTAAAACGCTCTTTCAATCTCATTTTTTTAATGCATACTATGTAAAACAACAAAACGGTATATTTCTGATAAGCAAGCCAATTCATTCTTTCAAAACATTTTATACAGTTTTCTGACATTATAAATATTTAAAAAATTATGTTACACTCCTTTCCATATTCTTTTAGGGCAATTCGGTAAATAACTTATAACCATCTTTACACATAAATAACGAAGAAAAATTGTAATAGCTTCAAAGTTGGCAGACCTGTAGCTGCTTTGAAAAGAACATTTGAACTTGCGTAATTGGCTACTAGCGTAATCCTAAGATAAAAAGTAATCAGTAACAGTAAATACATGGGAGAAAGTGCAAGAAGTGTGTATGTAATTAAGAAATCATATTTACGACATAGTGTTATCATATTTCTTCAACAAGTATCAATTGACTATCCGCCATTTTAATAAAGTGACCAAACTAAATAACATTATTTCCGCTAGATGGAACGCAAGAGCCACCGTTAAATTTTCAAATAAGAAATACAAGTAGCAGCCATATGGTATTCGCAGTCGCGCGCGTAATCCCGTGGCTGCGTGTTCTCTTTTGTATTTTTCAATGCCACGGGGTGCCTTGAACCTCCTTCGGTCGTAAAAGCCATATCGCTATGCCTTTTTTAAAAGTATCTCTCAATTCTACAAAATAATGGCAATATCAAGCGAGTTTCGACTAATAATTTATAAAAATCGTATCTTTAATTAACTTAGTGTATAAAGTAAATTAAGTAGCTTCTAAACGGAACTACAATTTTAACGTACCGAGGCGTCTAATTTATCTATACATAGTTTATATATCATTTATCCTTTCGAATTCATCGTTTCATATAATCTAACAAGTGATCAGATTACTCTATAAGTTATCGAACTTCCAAAGAAGATTATAAATATTCGTTGTTTGAGAGGATTCGCCGAGGAAAATCTTTTTTCAAATTGTACATAATTCAAATTCACAGGGGGAAACCTCCCCCGCCAATTCCTTGTGTTGCCTGGAATTCAGCCTTATTTCCTTTTTTATTTTTTTCCTTCCTCATTGTTATACTCCTATACCATTTATTTCCTACTATTTCAAATTTCTTCAATTCATGTTTCGGGCACGCAAGAGTAATATGTTTTTTGTTTGCGTCACTGTGGGCTTCGTTCTGCTCGCCTCGAAGTATCGCGACAACGTGCTTCGCGGTGTCAGACAATTATGCCATCGTTTTATAAGCAAGCGTGTCTCCCAGGATGGTCACACAGCCTGCAAGAAGGTCGTGGAAGTCAATCCGCACCAAATCATCGTAGCCGAGTCTCCAGAAAAGTGTGATTATGCCGTACAGTGTATTAGCCGGTAAACTAAATTTGGAGTATAATATTAACAGATTTGTATTTAAGGCAATTCAGGATAAAGGCAACAGTTTTGACTTCATATTTACTGGATAAGATGCTCAAGGTGTTATTATAGCACACAGTACAATAATATCGTACTATTGATTTATAGAAGTTTGTTTTGTTCAGTTTTCTTATAAGCTGCTTTACTTTGTATGACGATTTGTTGATACTTTTTATTATATATAGTTTAGAATATTTGGAACCTTGTTGCCATTGAAGAGTTCCTTACAATAGAATTTATGTTTATCTGGTGAAGTTGTAGAAATTTACTTTGTAGAGAATTTCATTGGCTTCTCTTGTTTCTTTATTTTTACAGCGACTTAGCTTATGGCATTTTGGGATTTGATTGTGAATGGGTTAACGAAGGACCAGTATCTCTACTACAACTTGCCACTTATAATGGAGTATGCGCACTGTTTCGTCTTTCAAAGATCGGTTACGTTCCCGCTACGTTAAAAGTATGATTCTATTTAATTATATCATCAGAATATTTGCTGTAATGGAATTTGTGTTATAGGAGTTGCTGGCCAACAAGCAAGTGCTCAAAGTGGGTGTTGCTTCTTTCGAGGATGGACAAAAATTAACTAGGGATTATGGCTGCCGTGTCTATGGCACTTTAGATCTCAGGACTCTTGCACATCGACTTGGATTACCTAGTCCAAAGAGTTTATCTGCCCTATGCATGCATTATCTAAATCTAGAAATGGAAAAATTGCTCGAGGTTAGATGTGGCGATTGGAACGCCGACATTCTTGCCAAAGAGCAAATGTTGTATGCTGCATTTGATGCCTATGCTGCTGTCCTGATATATCATGAGGTACTTTAATAAATAAGTCCAATGTCTTTGCAGATAAAAATCACATGATCTTATTTCAGATACTCGAAAGAGCGGAGAAGGAACGTTCCTTCTTGCAGACCCTAATAATCTGTTTTAAAAGCGTCTGGGAAAAAGATGGTACGGAGGAATTCCATGGCCTGCCCAGTGGAGTCGTCGATGCGAGGTAATTTTTCCAAGATACATTCAATAATTAAATATACTAAGAGTACGTAAATAGTATATTCTCTGTATTGAATATTAATACTGTGCAACACTATTTATTCAAATGCTTATTGTAATCTCTTTGGCTCGGTTCCAGGTTCAAGGATCACCGAATTTATTCATTTAATAATAAAGTTAATAGTATAATTAATAGAACCAATAGTATACGTAAAAGTAGCGTACCTGCACGTAACAAACCGCTTTATCACAACTGCTGCCTTCAAGCCCCGGATGGTGAGATGCTCTGTACCTGCGATCGCAAGAAAGCTGAATGGTACGTGAGCAAAGGTCTAGGTTCAGTAGTGAGCAAGGATCCGTTTACAGTAAAATTGAATTTCGAGCCTGCTGGACGTGCTCTTGGCGACGTCGGACGTTATTATACCCAGGTAAAGGAGAATCAATGCGTAGTCTGCGGGACATCGAAAACATTCATAAGGAAGAACGTGGTCCCTAGGGAGTACCGCAAGTATTTTCCCCGTAAGTATTAACCCTGTGCTACTGTTTTCAGTTAGCAGGAATTTGATTATCTTGTTTTCATTTTTTTTCATAGTGGTGATGAAAGCTCATCAATCCCACGACGTCCTGCTTCTTTGTCCGAGTTGTCACGAGATCAGCAATTATCATGACCTCCAGCTTCGTAGGAAGCTAGCAGAAATGTGTGATGCACCGTTATCGGGTCCTTTGTCTCACTCCAGAGATGAGTATCCTAATGGTTGGCGAAAGCTGCGTTCCGCTGTGAGAGCTTTACAAGAGGAAGTTCGGCTCCCGGCGCAAAGACGTCTGGAGTTGGAAAGATATGTAATGGAATGTGGCGGTCAGAAAGATATCACTCCGGAAATACTGAATAATTTAGAAAAGAAGCTCAGGGCTGGACCCCCAGCTTCTTTAACACCATCTCCACAACCGCCACTCCCACATGGTGTCAAAGTTGTACAATACTTTGAACAGCAGGAGGGTGGCCTCGTGGAACTTGAGAGGATATGGAGAGAACACTTTCTAGAAGCAATGAAACCGCGATTTTTACCCAATCTATGGTCTGTTTCTCATAATCAGGAACGTCTTGTGATACGACAAACGCAAAACAGAATAGATCCCCAAGATGCAAAGACAGCAGGGTTGCAGGTCGCTAATAATAAAACTGATTGTTGATTGTTAATCACTTTTAAGAGTACGACTTAAGTATGTTCGAATGAGACTGCTGAAAGATCAAATGTACCCAATTATCAATATAATATTACCAATCAGTCGTAACTCTGTTTATTAATTAATGCGCCTATGCCTTATTTTCTTGAAAGAATTGGACATTGCAAGTAAAATTCAAAATACTTTATTTTCAATCTGTAACGATTGGAACTCTATACATGTATGGATTCATAGCTCGAAGCCATTGACTACTTATTAACGAGGTTCATCAGTATATACAGATTTCTAACACCATTCATTTGACTTAAACTAGAGTACAAAGAAAGGGCTAAGGTTGTTTCTGACTTTCCGTTTCAGCTGAATTAGATTCTGGTTTAGGTGTGATGTTCTGAAGCTCTTCGTCAATACGTTCCTTAGCTCTGACAACTTTGGATTGCAGATAGAATGAGCCACTTTTTGATCTGTCATTAACTTCCATTAGAAATCGATAATTCTTCTCGATAACATCCTTCTGGTCCAGTTTGTCAACATTCAGGATACGCATTGCTTCATCCAACGTTATACCAGTACGTGCATTTGCTGCCACACGATCAGCACCTTGTTTTCCACCACCTGCACGTCTAGCTGCTTCCTGACTTGCTGCTATTTCCTGACGAAGAGCCTTGGCGAAGGCTCGACCGATCACCCTAGTACCCAACACTATTATCTGGGCTAAGTATTTGGCCATAACCATGGGCCTTATGTACAGGTTAGGGCACTCAGCGAAAATAGAAGTGCAATGAAGTGCAGGAACTGGCACATGTCCTCCATTGAGGATTCAGCCATAAGGAAAGGAAGAAAAGACTCTGGTGCGCATGTGCCATTAGCAGAGATGAGTGGGGAGATGCACAACGCTCCGGTTTTAGGCGATACCAAAAGCATGGCGCTACATCGTAGCGGCGAGTCCAGGAGTAGGATTTCGTGATCATCGCCTCTGTCGATGTTACAGATTTCGCGTAGCCACGTGGGTCATGATCATCGTTCCAGCCGATATTGCAGTCAGCGAAATGAATGGATTGCTCGGTGGTGGGGAACAAGTTGCCGCCCCTCACAAACCGTTCTTGACAAACAGGCGGAACAGCAAGGTCTTCCGTCCAACCGAACCCTAAACGTTTGTATGGACGTAATGCGCAAACAAATGTGTATATTCAAATAAATTTCAAAGTTATAAAAAATGCATAGAAATATTGGTTTTCACTCTTTACCTCTTATCATGCCGAAAATGAACATTAAAAAATGAATGGCGAAATTCGTTGGTAAATGAAACGACCGAGAACAGTTTAAAGAGAAATTTTGAAATATCATAGATAAATATCTATACAAAATTTAATTTAGAATTAAACGAGCATCGTGGCTGAGTCAATAACCTGTCAAGATATACCGCTGCTGGTTACGGGTTCGATCCCCCATGAAGAACTCTTTTTTCATCTTCTTTTTTTTTTATTTTACTACAAAAATTGTTCAAGGTTCCTCTCTTTTAACCTTTCTAGGTTGCCCAAACTTTATTTTAAGTTTATATATATATTTTTTATTTTTATCTATGACAGAATCGACTAATATTTTAAATGCCCGCTCGTGCCGCGCGACCGGCGACTTGAGCGATTGCGGATCCTCTCTCGCTGAGGGGTCTGCTATTGCTGTTACTGCTGCCGCTGGTTCTTATAATCTTATAAATACTTTTTTATTTGCAATCTTCAGTTGCAGCGCCCAGTGTAAACTCAATAAGATTTACTATGAGAAAATAATTAGCTCACTTCATTACCTGGAATCAATAATCTTAAGAAGCAAATATGGAAATGAGCATTATCTCTGTCTGTAATTGTTCGTCCACGTGCCACTCATCTCTGCCGAAAATCGTAGCGTTGTGCATCTCCCTATTCATCTCTGTACAATATCTTAACGCTACACGATTGGCCAGTATCGTGTAAGATGCCATCTACAGTCAAGAATGACAACAATTTGAATTTTCTATCTGGACGAGATCAGTTAGAATATTTTACATTAAACCCAGGATTTGGATGGTTCAATGTTTTAACCCTTTCGCTACGGGCGAGTTCTCCGCCGCGGTACCTCGAGACTATTTGTCGAGGCATATAGATTGCTAAGCATTGAGTTATTTCGGTTGTCAGAAACAAATGATGTAAATAAAATACTATCAATGCATGTCCAGAGTGAGATACTTTTGCAGAACGGCTAGTCGCAATATCTCAGTGGCATCTTATGGAAGGCCACTATAGTGGCTCGTAGTAGTGAAAGGGTTAATATAACAATAGATCGGTTAACGATATTGATTTATTATTATCAGCAGTCAATATACTCTGGAGATCCTTTTTGAACTATAATAAAATTGTACATGATTCTTGTATGCGAGGGAAGAGGAGCCTTTTTTTTTGTTCTTGAATGTTCCCAATATTTAAGTGGTTGAAATTCAATAAGGTGATTTAGCCTTCAGGTAATGAAAGCTCATCAAGCTGTTCGGTTACGAATTTGTTGACTTTACCAGTCTTTTTTTTATATATGTCAATCTGGTATTGGTAAAGAGTTAAAGTAATTTAGGGCTTCGCGTGCCGAGGAATACGCTAGATTGTATACTGGATGGATCATTCTGACAATATTGCGCTGCTGTGGTCCAACAATTACAGGTGTAGGAGAATTTTGTGACACTGCCAATCCACTCAAGGCGTAACAAGTGTGATATATATCTCGATTCCTTCAAAACAAAAGTAGAGTTAAGTATATCGACTAATAAGAAGACGAATAATAATTGTTATAAATGTGTTTTACTTTTCAGGTTTATCTAATAATCCACCATATGGATGCTGGCAGCATACTAAAAGATACTCCTGCAAGGCTTCCTGATCAAAGAGCCAGTAATTTTTATCAAATTTTTTTCCCTGATCAGAAAGAATTGCTTGCAGCAGTGGAAAGGCTCCTCCCTGCCAAAAGGAGTAGCAGCCATCAACCAATTTGTTGGTTCTACCTTGAAAGCCACCCTCTAGGCGCATTTGTTTATTTACAATCCATCTCTGTGGAAATTTCAAAAATTAATAAATATTACAATGTGTCACTTTATATGTAATCAAGGTACCATTAGAGATGGTAGATGACAAGAATTAGATTTTCCCAACATCACAAGGGCTGCAAGACCACAATATGCATAACCACCATGAGCTTCCATACCAGGATACCCTCCAAAACCGCCTTCCCACGTTTGGCATTGGACAATCCAGTCTGCTGTTCCATTGAACATGTCTGGGCTGTATACATTGGTTAATTTAGCCACTGCTATAGCACAGTATGCACCTCGAATATCAACCTCTCCGTCGCAATGCATACTAAAGGCCCCATCATGTCCTCGTAGAGATTTCAGAAACTTTCGTAATCCTTTTCTAGGTATTAATGTAAAAATTAAGAAGGTACATGTAGATAAAAATTGATATGGTACTAGTCCTCACCGATCTATTACTTCATATGCTTCAGTAGTTCCAATAATGCATAGAGCATTTACAGCTGCATAAGTTGGTGCCAGGTGTGGATACTGACCTGGACCACCACCAAAACCACCATCAGGCCATTGACATTTCCCAAGAAAGGTGGCAATCTTGGAATAATCATCTATTTCTAAACGTTCACCTAAGACATGTAGAGCATGAAGAATCCAGTAGCAGAGCCAAGGTCTGCTGCAATCTAAACACTGATTAGAATTTGGAGATGTAAATAATAAGTAAAACAGAACATCTTCGTATGTACATTAAAGAATAACGATTAAATGAAGCAATACCTCGTAACCCTCGCTAAGATGTGTGAGTGATTTCTTCAAAAATTTAATGTGTGTATATCGTTCTAGGATAGGTCTTTTTCCCATTGTATAGAGTCGAAGAACATTTTCTTCCACATTTTCCTGTTTCAGAAATAAAGCTTAATATACAGCGTTTTGTTAAGAATTTTAATAATATGGACCTGTTCCATAGATGTTGCAGTTTGGACTCCTTCGTCATCTTGTTTCTCAGATAGTAGATTGTTAAAGCTTCGTGTTTGAATTTCTTCATCATCATCGCTTGAATCCAGGTCGGACATTATCACACAATGCTAAAGATAATTCAAATGAGTAACAATATTATGATACATTCAATATTCCAACAATACTTGTTAAATAGAATACTATTTCTTAAGGTAAACTGTTGATCTCTAACCCCATTTTATTATTGAACCTAAACATGATAGAATAAAAAATTAAAGAAAAACCTTTCTTTCACTCACAATAAAATGATCTCTCCACTTTTTAAAAAATGGAATAATTTTCAAAATTTGTATTTTAATAAAAACAGATAATAACCGCAAGCTTCATGCCTATGTGTCTCTTCCTTTACCGGTACCTCTGTAGCTGGTACGTAGCTATGAAATATTCCTCTTTGATTACATCTACATTATCGATAGTTGTGACAAGCTTCAACTATTTTTTAAAGAGATGGTACTGTATGTATTTCCTAAGCAGTTACCTTGCGTACGTGTTAAATCGACGATGGATAAATCGTGAATCGTCAATTTCATTTAATAGTGTTTTGAATTTGCAGTATTTTTTTGTATCGAGTATAACGTGTAGGTAGAATGGTACGTTTTCGATTGGCAAATTCGCCTACATTCATCAACCGTGATCTTATGCAGAGTTACATTTGCACGGCTGTGCACGGGGCCATACTTCATGTACAACAAGTATAAGCAAATTACACCAATGGAAGATGTCACAAAATACGTTTACACGAAGGTCTTAAACATGAAAAGGAAGTAATCAAGAGAAAGTAAGTGTAAGAGAAAGTAAAAATAAGATCCTTCCTTCCTTTTCTTATAGCAGTAAGAATAAGATAAAAGTAAGAAAACGAAAACGATGGGAAATTCAAAAGAATATAGTATCGCCATCTGAAACACTAATTCAACGTTACAAGACAGATGGAGACACAATAGCGAAAAGTTCAAACTGCCCCGCCCATGTGATTTAAACGTCGTTGCTCCCGAATTTCGAGTATTCGGAAATCGAATCCCCACTCCCGGTTCTTTTGACGAGCCGAAGTATGCTTCTGTGATCCGATTTCATGTAGAGGGGTTGCCCGACTCTCGAGGGTAGAGATTGAGCATGTGAAATCCTCTCCACGTGAGCCCGATTTACGAAAATCGACAGATTAAGCATTCAAAAAGCATCATCGAGAGTGGATAACGATGAGATTTATAATTCCAACCTTAAAAATTCGTCCACCGAATCTCCCTAGATTTTTTAAAATCACGCACTAGACTACTCACGAATAAAAATATATTAAAGTCTATAACATAATTTTACCGTATAATTTGAATATTTTAAATCACCTAAGATTGACATTCATATTAATTCTGCTCGACTGACCGCACAAATGGCCCCGTTGATAAATAAATATTGATGCTCGAGCATGACGTTAATATATACACATAAGCTACATAGGAGAACTCCTTGGCTGCTGCTCCTGGGACTGCAGTGCTGCAGCTGCAGCCGTAGCTGCAGGTGGAGAGCCACTTTCAACCTTTTCCGTCATCCCCTCGACCGCAACCCCTTTAACTTTCCTCGCCAGATTCCTCTTTACTCCCACTATGTATATACATATAAACCAGCACACCCTTCTCCACATACGGACACACGTTCCAGTGTATCACAAGTTTAGCTTGCATCAATTTTCATTTAATGCACCCCCAACCCCTTCACAGCTTATATGGTCTATCGGCCATTTCTAAAGTTTCCTACAACGGTACAATGCACACGCGCATCCACTCGGATAAATGTAATTGTACATACGCCACATTCAGCGTATAGAAAGTCCAGACAAAAAAAGATTGATTGATTTAATTATTTGAATTGTCAGCAATCAATCGATCGTACCAATACACGATGGGTACTGCTTTCTTTTGTTTTTCAAAAATTGTCTCCTTTTTTATCAAATAATTTATATCGTTAGAATTTTTTTCCTCCTATTTACTCCTACGAGCTTCGGGTACCCTTGCTGTTTCTCTGGTCCATCGAACCGGAAGTATTGGTAGAATCAGCGGAGAAAAAAACCGAGAACGACGGCGGACTTGATGCTGATTTGGACGTCGCGACGGATCGATAACAGCCGATCAGTTTTGGTCGACTTGGTTTTTACTTTTTTTTTTTTAACAATGGACGATTAGACTTCCCGGTATACGTGACACAGTACCTTATATATACAAATTTGTATTATTTCTCGTATACATACATAATTATTTGCTTCTGTTTTCTTATAGAAGGGGTGGCTATATTTCTTCTTATCATAAATCATCTCTCTCTGTATTGGACGGTATCGTCGGGGGATGTTTTTAGTATCGATTTCGACTTCTTTCAAATTCAAATATCGCACGTGTTCCCGCGTAATTCATACGAAGACATAAGCTTAGCCTTCCATCCGCAAGATTTTCTTTTGGTCTTTTTACCAATTTCCTATGCGGTGCGTGAGTGCGAGCGAGACAGACGCATATGGCGATCACGTGCGTAAGACAAGGAGAGGAATAGAGCGGTGAGGAAATCCATGACTACATATATCCTCTTGACGATTTGAATTTATATATATATAAATAAGATTAAAAAATTACCCCTACATTGGTACCTGGTTTTATAGTCTTTACTTGAATATTTAATTTTTGTCAATATATCCCACGCAAATCTGTATAAGTGCCAGAGGTAGGTAATGTACCCAGATATTGAAGAGACGAAGATAGGATGTCGTTCGTAAGTTTTTGTACAAGAAATTCTTAGTGTTTGTCGGCACGACTGATTCTACTTGTGCTGTTGGTTGTTTGCCATTTTATTTTTCTCTTTATTTCCTCTCTCTCGCTCCCTCCTGATCCCTTACTGTTCTCCGAAAGCTCCCTTTCCTTGGTAGAAGCTTAAGCGCCTCTATTGACAGAGAGAAAGGAGCGTACTGCTCAAAGGACAACTCTTATTTCCGCTATTAAGCGTCTCTGGCCCTCGTAAAGGTATATCTTCGGGAAGGACTTTTTTAAAAGTCCCGCGTCGTTTCGGGGGATTCCCCGAAAGACTCAACTGCCACTTTCAGACACTCTCACGATAAAACTCAATAGATAGGAGGAGCCACTGGTAACTTTCGCACTTTTCAACTATTAACGGTCACTTTACTACAGGGCTATGCCTTGCCGGAGTTTCTTTTTATGGTTATACTTTTTACTTCAGCTTCCCGATACTTGAGGCAGGTCAGTTATCTGACTAATTTATAAAAAACCAGAGTATCCATTTGTCATATTAAAAAAAAAATTTTTTATTACAGATTAATAAAATTTCACCCGGTACTTTATACGTTATTGGGATGGATAATCGGGACTCCATCTCTATATGGACCCATATGTGGATGCTGTGATTTTATCTGGACTTTCTTCATCTGCATTTGACATGACCTTATCTCAATGTCTTTCTAAGAGCTCATGCATAGATTTACAAGAAAATGGCTAACTCGGCGCCGTGTAGCTTGCGGACGTATAGGACTCGTAGGGGATGATTTTTTTTTTTTTTCTTTAATGTTGATACAAACCCGCCCAGAGAGAATGGGTAATTGGAGAAGAAGGTTAAGGGGATATACTAAGGGATGAATATTGGTCGGTAGGAAAGTTGAGAGAAGGGGAGGAAACTTCGAAGATATAGAGGGTTGGTATACACTGTGGGTACGGGGGGTGGGCTCTGAATCTGCCGGATTTCCGATTCGGCGTAAGGGGATTCGATCTCATATTTTGCCTGGGTAACCAACCCTCTCTCGCCGTTTCATCCCCCTCATGGCTCGTTTAACACGTCCACTCCCAGACGCGCACTTTACAAAATTAGCTTTGTCAGCCCTCAGTCATATATATATGTACACATATACATATATATATATATATATCCTGAAGGACTCGTATGTAATGGATGACTGACTGGGAATTCGAATCAACCCCGAAGGACCAAAGGAATGGAGTATCCATCCCTTAGGCCATATCTACCCATTATCGGGTGGCAGACCCTTAAGTAGTCGAATTACAGATATTTTTCTTCTTTCTCTTAATTTCTTTACCTTACTTCCAACTTATCCCTCTCTCTCTTATACGCCACTTGCTTATCCACTGTCTCTGTTCGGTGAGCAAATACTATATCTGTATAGTACTTTATATATATTACATGCTAATATTTAAATGACTTCGGTAATGTATCTTTCAATAAAATTTTTCACGAGCTATCCCAATATCCATATATGACCAGTATCAGTCCAATTTTCTTCTTGCAATAAGGGTAAAAACCAACTGTCACGACACTCACCAGCCCTCGGCTCGTAAACTTTATGATTGAGACTGTGGTAGAGGGTAAACCCTTTCTCCTCCTATCTTTTTATTATTTTACACTATTTCTCTCAATTTTATTCTTTCACTCTCGATATTTAATGAAAATCATAAAAAAAGCACGATATCCCTATTAAAAAATTTTTCTCAAATTTTCAAGGGTTTCATATGTATTCTGATAAGGTGAAGGATGCATTTAATTATTGCCACATATTTTGACGTATACACTATGCGTTATATGCATATGACACGTATGCATATATGTAAATTGGTTTATGGAAAAAAAAATTAACAGTTAAGCAACGTGAAATAACCAGACACTAAAAAAAAGACACGTGTGTTTGAAGAATTAGCGGTTGGTAAAGGGGGTATAACAACGTTAAGTAAACGTAACAGTACATTTTGACGTGTGTCTGCCAAGTGTGAACGGGGCTTGAGGTTATTAATACTTTTTATATTTTCCATGTTGTTATCTTGACGAGCACGAGTACAGTCGGTACGGGAAGTCTCCGTTTATCATAAATCAAGATTATAGAAAATTCCTTTTTTTATTAATTGTTGCCAACAGACAAAAGTGAACTGGAGTGTATAAGATTGTGATTTTTTTGTTTGAAAAATTGACAAGTGTCTACGAGAATGAAAAGAAGTGTATGCGAGGGGTGAGTAGAGAGAGCTTTTGAATTAACTGTAAAAAAAGAAAAAAAAAGGTGACGTAAAGGGACGAAAAAAAGGGAAAATTATCTTGAACGTGAAGTAATGTGTGTATTTTTGAGATTGAAAAAAATTGAGAAATGGAGAGAGAGAAAAAAATTGTCTTGCAAGGGATGGGGTTGAAGTAGGGAAAAAGTCTGTATGAATGAAGGTTAGTTTCGCATGTGATTCAGGCCAGCCTTATGCTTGATATATGAGGGGTGTGTTAGGGTCTCGAAGGCGTATAGGGAGGAACGAAAGGTTGGGGCTCGGAAAAAAAGGGGCGACGTCGAATACCGTTTACGCGCCTGGATCCTTTCTTTTTCTAGTCTGATGGGGAGCAACCCCCTTTGAAGGAATACTGTAGTAAGGCCTAACGTGGATGCGGAAGGGCTGCTGGGTATCCTTAGGGGATGGGATAGATTATAGATGCTGGTATATAGTATTATATGTATATACGGTAAAGGTATATATATATATATATATATATCTATTGGGGTTGAGGGTTTGCGTGAGTTCGGCAGATACCAAATATTCGGTGTCTCTCTCTTTGTATTCTGTATAGTATTATATGTATATACGGTAAAGGTATATATATATATATATATATCTATTGGGGTTGAGGGTTTGCGTGAGTTCGGCAGATACCAAATATTCGGTGTCTCTCTCTTTGTATTCTGTTCTTTACCTTATGCCCTCTCCTTTCTCTTTCTCCCATAACCAAAAAGGTATTCGCTTCTCCTTGCGCAGATTTCCTTAAATCTTTAATACCATCGGCATATTGAAAATCCATAGGATATATCCCCGGCAATTCAGGGGAGCAAGGGGTTGCTTTAGTTTTTTTCGCTTTGGCAAATTTTTCCAACCCTTGAAATCTATTCGCCAAGAATCTGACACACGCCACCTGACAGTGTGGATGATATCGGATTCCTGCGCCAGGGGCGGACCTGGTCCGGTGTCTTTAGGAAAAAAAAAAGTCAGCCCTCATACGGTAACGCGTCAAGAATCTTTTTAGCTTCAGCTCAGTTTTCCGTGCTACGAATTAATTAACCATTCACTCGAGTCTGGGTGATCGGTTTCAGCAGCCCTTGGAATAGGGGTTGCGAAGGTAGCGGTGGTTAACGAGTAGAATTCTTTGAGAGGGAAAATGAAAAATGGTGAAGCGGGACAAAAAGATCTGTCGAAAGGATCTCGCGTGGGTGGGTGAACCCAGTGGTACGGTTTAGGGGTGTATGAGTAGATATGTAGATAGGGGATGAAGTTTTTTCAGGGGTTTGTCCAGCAGTTATATTCAAAGTGCAGTGGCTGACAGGGTGGCTTGGATGGCAGGTGGATATAGGGGTTTGGTAGTTTGGGCAAAGGAGCAAGCAGTGCCCGAGCCGGGGTTTAAAGGGGGTAAGGTTGGTCATAGGGGTTAAAATGAAACCAGGAGCTGGGGTGGACAGTTTGTTTAAATCAAATGACGCAAGGCTGGACCAGTGTGGAAGGCAGAATGCAATTTCTCTCTGGTCCGCTCGGCTCGGTCTCCGCCGCCCCTTTTCAACCCTCGCAATATAGAGGAGAGCAAGAGAGAGCAAACCTCACCCCTTCGAGTAACCGTAGAACTGACCTACCTTTTCTTTCTGTTTTATCCTCTTTTTTTAAACCTACCCCCTTGTGACACTGGGTGGCACCGACCTATTCTCCACTTTTTCAGTACCAGTGACGGTAGGCTCTCGGTCTCTGCCATCATCCCCTAACTGTCAATCTGGGCCCATTTTTTGGAAACGCTACTCCTGCGGACGACTTCAAAAAAGTGACCGTCGACAATATCAATGGAAATTGAAATATTGTTTTGCTCTCTTGATAACGGATATCCGTTTCATCGTCCTCTCTCGTCGTACCGTGTAACCAAGCCCTGGAGCGAATGCCATTAAATTCTAGGGAATTTTTTTTCTCGAAAATCTATATCGATATTTAATTGTTCGCTGACCCTAAATTGACCCCGTACTCTGTCCAGAGTGACATTCTCGCGTTCAGGTAATCTCGCTAAAAACATCTCCCTGCCAGTCGCGTTGGGGTAGGTCGGTAAGTTCTAGGGAATTTCTCGTATTTTTCTCAAGTTGGCAGCGACAAAGTGAGCGCCGCGAGACGAAGGTATTCGCTCGTATTTTCGAACTTGGGCGAAAATGAGTTTTTCACTTTTTTTCTCTCGTGACACCCCTTCACTTGCAACCCCCCATTTCCACGCTAGGGATTTTTTGCCTTCCGAGAATGAAAGAACGTTCGTTTGGCCTGCCAGCCGGCCTAAATAAAGAAGGGTTGAGAAAACCAATCGAGCGCTAACGATTTTTCCTTGCAAGGGTAACGACTGTTAGCGAACGAGAAAACTACCCTTCCAGCTAATGGTTATTATATCTATCTTCTCCCTTCACTCAACCCTTATTTCTCTGTTTGATCGTCAGTACCATTCTGAAGTCAATTTACACCCTTCTCTGTGTCGTCCTTCACGAGTCCCGGGCAACGGGGAACCAAATGACTGATGTTCTGCAGCGACAAGTGCGCGCCCTTACGTATCCGGAAGACAGTGAAATGGGGGTGAGTACCCAATACGATTAACTTTATATACTACCCTTAAGGGATGTTTCGCATCCAACTCCCTGGCACGTATCGGGACTGATTTCCGATCGATTAACGTCTATGTAAGCAACAAGTTAGGGGTTAACCACCCCTGAGGACCTTTGTCGGCCAGAGGGTAGTTGGACCCGAATCATCATTCCCATTGGATCTTACGAACAATTCGCTTGTCACTGTTCACTACGAATTTTCTTTCATCCCCTAACCATATCTTTTTATCGACAGAACGAAACCTCATCGTTTGTCATTAGCCAATTATTAGTTTAATCGTATTCGAAAAATTTCATCCCTTCTCGTATATCTCAAACCATTTCATTCCACCCCTATTTCATTTCCCACGGGCTTCTCCAAATCTATGGTGGCTCTGCTACTTTCCAAGGGACTATCAATCACCCCCTTAGCGCTGTGCGCTTCTAGTCCTAGCCCAGCCTCTGGATAAATTTACCAGCGAAGCGCTCACGAAGTCGAACGTGCGCCACCTTCCTATCCAGCCATTAAATAACTACCCCTTGGTAACCAGCCCTGTTAACCCTTTAGGTACAGCGGTCACGTACTGGTTTACGATTGGCCACGTTTTACCTTGCTGATGGTCCTACGACCTGGGTTGGATGCGTCATTTTGTTTGGTTTTCTTATACCTTTGATATATATGTCTTTTTATTATTGCACAGAGCCATTTTGGCGAACCTGCTTTAATTCTGTTACGCGAGGACTCAGGATATTTTTTATGTTTATTTTATCGAATTTTTATTACCTTCGTCTGAGTTCGATTAAACAATTTTTTTCATCTACGAACTCAATTTGTATACCACAAATTTTCATACTGGGCCAATTGTCAATGGGGCGTAATAATGAAGTTCTTTTTTTCTTTTACACGTAAAAAGGGTAGTCTTAAGCAACAAGTGACGAGTTTTGTTGTTCTATTGTTTTTCTCCCGGGCTTTTGTTGTTTTTACGCTTTCTTTTTTTCTCACCTCAACTCGTTTGAACCGCCTCATCGTCTTTTCGTGATACGAAAGGGGAATTAGGCGGGTGCCAGGGCCGTACTATAAGTGGTTCAAGTGGGACTCGAGGGTACTCGTCCAGGTCAGGCGGTAAGTTATTTTTTAAAATAACAAAATTGAACCGAGTATATATATAGCTAAGTGGACTTTATCGGTTTTTAAAAGATTTCACGTCTTCGATGTCATTCCGAGAATCTCATTGGATGCTGCGACTGTCTTTGTCCTGGAGATACGTTCACTTTCCTGTCTCTTCTTTTTCCCGTGTACATGAACTCTAATTGATACGGCCCTGCCAGTTTGGAATCGTCACTCTGGCACGTGGCCAAAATTC